TTATACGCTGCTAAAGAATGAGCAACCGCAATATAAAATGGAACCGTAATATAATAAGGATTTGTAAATCTGATCATTATCATTTTTTTTTTGTTGATTTAAAATATCAGAGTGAAAGTTATACTTTTTAACTTTACAAGCGTGATAAAGTATTCGTCGGAATGTTAGTACAGCATTACATAATTCACACTGGGTATGTTTTTAAGTTCTTATCTTGCACGAATCTTCGTTTTATCGCATACAAACCAACCTATGTGGCAAGCATTGCTGGAATTCCAAGCCTGCAAAGTCGGCTAATATCTGACACGTAATTTTAATGGTAATACACGCACTCTACAATACCGACACTTTAATTTCTGAAAATCCATTGAAAAGTGGAAAAATTCATTTTTTTTACTTTAAACATTACTTTGCACTACAAAAAAATATTTTAAATTTAGAGAAATCAAATTGGATCCGTGAATATTTTGCAAATTTCTAAGGTGCGATAGTGGTGTAATGGTCAGTATAAGTTGCCTTCCAAGCAGTTGATCCAGGTTCGATTCCCGGCTATCGAACATTTTTTTTCAATTGAAAAAATATCGCTCAACCACAATGGACATTTTTTAAATTCGAAATGACATAAGAACGTTAACAAAAAAATTGAAGAAAGAAATATGTTGATGGCTAATCATGTATGCGTGCCGCAAACCAGCGATAAAAAAAGTACTTTCCTTGAGTTTTTCCAAATGTGTAACGAATATTACATGTACATGTAAACCGTGATATTGAATTTTAAACGAACAGCTAATCAACTCCAATTACACTTAAAATATGCAGTATTAAATCGTTCTCAATTTAAATTTCTTGCGGCTATCCATGTAGAGTAAAACTGTATAATGTAAAACAACAGGTCAATGCTAATCCGTGAAAAGTGCAATAAAGTTGGCGAGGTAACAAAAGAACAGTTAAACATCGCGTATTATAAAGTATGAGCTTCTCATTAACATTTGGGTTGGCGAGGTCGAAAATAACCGGCAAGCCAATAATTTTCGCGAGGGAGAGAGGCAGGGCAAGTCGATCGATAATATCGAAACTGACCCTGAAATTCCTAACAGGAGCGTAACGCATTTTCAACGCAGCTCGTGCGCGAGTTGGTCAACGGCTATAAGGAATTATATTGGCCAACTTCTTTTTACAAGTCTCAAGTGACTGCCGTTTAACGCATGCATCGTATAAAGTCAGCGATTCGAGACGATAAAATGACTTTCGAGTTAGTAGCATAATGCGTTTTCCAGAACAAGCAGAGAGAGAGAGAGAGAGAGAGAGAGAGAGAGAGAGAGAGAGAGAGAGAGAGAGAGAGAGAGAGAGAGAGAGAGAGAGAGAGAGAGAGAGTGAGAGAGAGAGCAAGGTCGTACACGCGAAAAATTATGGCTGTGCAAGACTTTTCCTTTGCCCGAAATTCTCTTCTTCTGGACGAACTCTTTTCAGAGTTTTAAAGAACTTATCTTGTTTCCCGCATGGGTACGCCAAGAAAACAAATGAATTAGGCGAGATTGAATCGAAGGGGATTTATTGCTTTGCTGACTGATTTACAAATTGCTTTCGTACGACTCGATGATTCTTATCGACGTTTTACTAGTATACTTTTTAAGAACATGCATCGTTTTAGTATGCGAGCATGATTTTTCAAGTCATTCGCAGGCACCGTTACGTTCGTTCCTTTATTATTATTTTGTTCAATAAAAAAACCAAGTAATGCAAAAATCTAAAGCATTTTGTTGGTGCGTCACAGTTACGCGATTAGTAGTTGCAAATTCCACGAACAAGTAAAAAAAAGTCATAAAAACAACACTTTGATTGCTTTTCGCGAACCATTGTTCGTACAAATATGTTCGACTCCCAGCAAGGTACATTTAGCGATTGCAATAAAAATTCTTATTTTAAAGAGGAGAAACGACAGAATGGTAATTCGGCAGTTACGAGGTGCGTACGCGTGTCTCTGGCAATTGTAAATGTTTGCCCCGGTCTTTCATTTTCGGAAAGTAGCAGCCTAGATAGATGTGCAATATGCAGAGAGAGAAAGAGAGAGAGAGAGAGAGATCTAGAGCGTGTACAGTTGTAGCGGAAAGTGCATTTTCACTGAGTACGCGCTGCATTGTTTGCTATATAACTCGCGTTATCTTGGGTACAGCTGCTGCGCGCAGCGTATGTGTAGCTTTATCGGAAGATCGCATGCCATGTCATGTGTGCGGATGCCGCCAGGAATGTTGCCGCTGCGGCCGTTCGATGCTAATTCGACGGGACATGCTTGAGACGCGGAACTATTCTCCGCTCGCGAGAGGAATATTGACGGAATGCCGATCGTGTTGAGGCATACGTGAAGTTTCTTCAACTTTACATTTTACTACGCCGAAGGCCTTTTATTTGACGACGAAAAAGAATGACCGAGGACTCTCGAAGCTCAAAGCAGTTTCATGTTGTCGCGCGATTAATATTTTTATTTTTGAGCTTGGAAAATCCTTCCATATAAACAAGGTGATGGCCTGCTGAGCGAAATCATTTTATTCGTGATCTGATTGACTAAATGTAGTTACGTGGGCGTTACTATTATGTGACAGAATGTACTATATTTATGCACATGCATTGAGCACGTAGCATAATTTAGCTTAGCAAATCATTGCTACGTTCAGCAAATCGGTGCTAATTAATAGCGCAAGGCATTTTACATTGATATATTATCGATTAAGGGTTAAATAAAAAATAAGCAAGACCGTTCGTAAATTATAAAAAGAGAATGAAATTCCCATTCATTCAATGGTCTAACCTCAAATTAATAATAAAGTTATCGTAATGCTCTACTTCAATTAAATTTATTCCCTGGGCAATTTATTGAATGTCTTTGTTATAAAGTTTAGCTTCGAATAATTACTATGATCAATGAAGAGAAGGTCATTTCGGCTTATTTCGTGCCGTAATTCATTTTTAAATTAATCTTAAATGTAAACCAAACATCAAAATTGTCTCGGCTAAACAGTTCTAAGGTCAATGTGTACTAGTTGTTGAATACAGTATTTTTGTTAACATCGTATACTTATCTATTAATGTGAAAATGTCCTATAAAAAGTTTGAGATCATATATAAATGTGTTAAAAAACAAAAAAAATTAAATTATCCAGTAAAGCTGACGGTTCGATATATTTCGAATAATGTAAATGCCTCACAAGCTGCTACGTTATTAAATTAAAAATGGGTACTAAATTTGAGTATCAGCGCAATTAAGTAATTACTTAGTAATTAATATAAACGAATGTCGGGCAATTAAAGTTATTGTATTTTATTATTATTTCATGTGTATGTAGTGTATATATTTGAGAATTTTTTATTTCACTTGTAACATTTTTGATTTCATTTAAACACCCGACCACATATTAATTACATATAAACACAAAGTGAGCGTGTGAAGCATGCTCGATGAAACTAGTAAATTAAACAGTACACGTATATTGTATATGAATAGAATGCGGTGGAAATGACAAATGTTTCGACGGAAATGTTTTAGTAACGGGTAATTTATTGAGGAAAAAAAGCTTTAATGTACAGTGATAAAAGTGAAGCCAATTGTTACAGGTTTGCTAATATTTTTTTTATATTTTCTCGTTTATAAATAGAGCTGATAGAATTGCTTTGCTGTTAGATCGGTCAATCAGGTATTACGTGAGTAATTGAACGTTTATGTGAGTAATTGAAATGTTAGATCTATTATTTTAATAACACGCACTGATATTGAACGCGAAGAATAGGTAGGCGATCAGTATCTAATATTGAGTTGGCCCTACCAGGACGTGCTATATTTCATCGGGGCAAGTTGGGAATAGAATTCACATTTTTCCATAAAAATAGCTTTATATTGAATGATCGCTCGGAAATAGTAAAAACTCGTTAATAGTAAAAACATAACGAAAATAAATTTTCCGATTTCGTCTCTAAAATGCGACATTTTGTCACGCTTTTCTTCAATAGTTTTTTTATTAGTTCGATGACTAGTACTTTTCTTTTTAGATATCAATTTAGTAGTTATATTGAACAATATTATGGTTTTCGGAAATACAGAATATTTCCAATTATTTATTATTGTAATTATTAGAGGAGATGTAAGCATGCAACCCTACCCTCCGATATGTCACCGATGTATAACGATAACGTATAACGATAACAATAACTACTATTTATTTTTACGGGAATCGCAATCTCGTACAAAATACTAGTTATATAAAAATTTTTGTTCGTCTCTATCGTAAGATAAAATTTAGCGAAGCCATCTCAAGTTTATAAAACTTGATATAGCTCGTGCAAAAAATAAATAAATATATACATTGTCGTACGTACTTTCTTTCAGTTGATCAAACTACTTTATGCGTGCAGTATTCTGCAATAAGCGATGTTTGAATAATCATTGCAATTAAGAAGAAAAGGAATAGCAGCGCCGTAATCATCACTGACATAACAAAAGGATTAAGTAATAGCCGACTTTCCCGCTCGAAGCGCCGAGTTCAAACAGTAAGAAAAATCCCGACGATGCCGCATTATCAAACAATCAAAGCAATCAATGTGCTCGGCTTGGATCCAAATGAGAGAGTCGGATCGCATGATTTACAAAGGAAAAGTCGAGCGATATGCAATTGCACGAAGAACAAGAAGGAGCTCCTTAACGAGCTTCCCCTCGCGCGCGGGCACTCGTGAAAGTGCCGCCCGGCGCTCGCGCGCGCAAGATTTAAGCGTATCCGGAGGAGCTCTCTCTCCGCGCGCTTTATCGGGCGCCGGCATCACGCGCGCGGGAAATACTTTGCAGGCTGGCGATTAGAAAGTGTTGGCGGGCCGCGCGGCGCTTTTTCCCGGGCATCGAGAGCAAGGATGTATTGTGAAAAGGAAAGAAAAAACAAAAGGGTTTCGTTCGCGCGTGCAACGGAGCGACGAGCGAAAGAGAAGCGAAGGGAGAGAGAGGGAGAGAGTCAACGAACCGTTAGCGCGTAGATCCTCGTGCGTGGGTTGATAGTGGTTGGCGTTGGCACTACCGGCTGTTATTTGGAAGCCGTACGCCGGCAGCCACGGATTCGGCCTGTTCACCAGGTCCATTTCCAGCTGGATAAGATCATCCGCTGTGCTCATGTCTCATCTCACCAGAGCGTGAGAGAACCGCCGCTGCTGCTGCCGTCGTCCTGCAAATCCAACCAAATGCCGATTTGTTTTAGCTCCCTCTCAACGACGCCTAGCGACACTGTCGTTTTTCTCAAATTCTCATTCGTCGCGCAAAGACTTGCCCGTAAATTTCACGACTGATTCGTCTGTCGAAAAGACGGCTCTCCGCTCTCGGCCGTATCGAGGCCAATTGAAAACGGTACGCGTATTATGGAGATCTGGCAGAAGCGCGATAAAAATCGCGCGACGAGCAAAGGCCTCGGCAGGATTTTTCGACGGGTTTTCGTGTAGCCGAGCGCCACTCGTTAGCGGCTCTATCGGAGTGTGAGCCCCCCCCCCCCCCGATCCGAGGGCCCCTCTTCCTGTCGTTGCGCCGTTGGGCGCACGCACGACGAGGGGCTTCTTCGTCTTCTCTACTTTGCGTGCGTTGCTATGGCGCGGCATTGAAATTCAGATTGCGATGCGCGCGGCTCGATGCCTATCGGCCGAAAGACCTCGCGTGCACGCGCGCGCACCGGATTTTCCCTTCTCGAATTTCAACGTTCGTCTCTTCGCCCATCTAACCGAGAAAAGAAAATGCAACAACAACGAAAGGCTGGTTTTTTTATTTGCCTTGCTGTCGCGTCTTCGGATTTGGAGACGTGTATTTTTACATCTCGTTAGTCTGCGCGGAATCGGCTCAATGACGCGCGATCTTTCTCATTAACTCGGACTTCAACATTGAACGGCTCGCTCAGCGCGCCTAATCATAACGGTTCGTTTGCTGTAATGCACTTTTAATTATTCTCGTTAGCGGAGTGGGACCCATATTTTCATCATGACGAAAGTACTCATGGCTAATCCGCGTGCGAAGCTCGCGTGCATTCAACCGACATATTCTCAACGCGGACATTCAAACGCATTGGAGCTGCCGACGCTCGCGGCAACGATTATAATAATTGTAATGGCCGTTAACGTAATTATAACATCGTCGAGCTTCGAACGGAGCACGGCATGACGAAATAATCATTCGTCGTACACGTAGACTCAGCCATTAGTTATTCACGTGAGAAAAACTGAAAACGAAATTGGAAATCGGAGAATTTGGAACGCACTCCAATCCACCGAAGCGATCTTTGAATCCCATGCGTCGTGTACTGATAAAGCCACGTATTTCTGTCTGTCATTGACTGTCGCTCCTATCATATCTCGTTCTCAAAAGCAAAAAGAAAGCCATAAATCGCCTATCGCAGGCAGTAAAACGAAGCGAAATTTTCGAGCCGTCGTTATACGAAGCCATTAATTTTGATTTTGATATCCGCCTCCGCAGCCTTCGCCGGAACACTAAATTTCCGCGAGCGGGGCTATTAAAGAAAAAAAAGGGAAAGGAGGATCGCGAAGAGCCACGTTGAAAATTATGTGGCCCTTGCGCTCGTATATAACCCCCTCCCCCTTGCCTCTCTTTTTTTACGAACGATTTCAGAAAAACGTAATCTCGCACCTTGTAGTCGATATACGCGCGAGCTCGTCCTGTCGAGAGAAAGGAGACGCGTCGCCTTGCTCGCAACATCGAGGCTTTCTCGGCGAAAAGTCGAGCGAAATTATCCGAAACGAACTTGCGAAAGGCGACGATCAATAATATAGATCGCGCAAAAGCTTCAGCTGGCTATATAATGAATAAGCAAACTTTCGCGCGGCGCGGCGCCTGCGTAAACATCGTGGGCATTGTCGCGCAGCGTATTGGCCTCGCTACACGCCTCGTCGGTGAACGTTGAAGGATAATGAGCGTCATTTAGATTGGCGACGAGGCGAAAGGTGACATCCGCGCCCGCAACTAATAACTCTATGGTGAAAGTTGACCACTGCCACTTCAAGATTTATGGAAAGAGAGACGCAGAAGAGAGAGAGAGAGAGAGAGAGAGAGAGAGAGAGAGAGAGAGAAGAAAAGGAATGCGCCATTTACATTCGTCTAGCCAACCCCGCAAAACTTCTATTTCCCAAGGATAAGACAATCATTACTATCCACGTATGAATATATCAAATGTACAGCCAATACAGACGCTGCCGTTACTTCTTTGTCCATTTTAATCATCGAGCAACGAGCAAAAATTGAGATGGCAAACAAAAAAAAAAAAAAAAGACGTCAAATTTATAATACCGCTCGTTTTTTCAGTTGGAAAGAGTACACAATAGCCGAGCACGCGTGTACACAATGCAAAAATAATAAACAAGTGGTGAGAAATTTACCGTGACATTTTTCGCGGCTCGTAAAGAATTAAAAAAAGAAAAAAAGCGAACGACAAACCAGGCTTGTTGCGGCAAGTCACGCTTCGGCAAAGGAGAGTCGCCGCATCAAAAGTGTGTTACGCGACAGGCAAATGCACAAAATAATACCGTTGAAAAGAGAGAGAGAAAGAGAGACGAGCGACAAAAGCTAGTAGATGTAGACTGAACGGGTGATTGAATTTTTCTTTTGAAATCTGTCTAATTGCGAGTAGTGCGTTGCAATTGCTTCATTTACATCGATCAAAAATTGACTTTGCCGTTGCGAAATTGCCAGTGATTTCGCAGGTGGACACGAATGAAAGAACAAATCGGCCGATAACGAGGTCGTGGCGTATAAAAGAACCGCAAGAGAGAATATCTGCTCTCCCACCCCGAAATTAACCGTTGTCCCGAATTCCCTCGAGTCTCAACGGCGACGACGACGACGACGACGTCGGCGGCGACGACGACGAAGACGACTACAACGACGAAGAAAACAGCCAGACAGGCGAGGCGGCAATTGGACATTGTTTCCTCTTCAACGATGCGTGCGTTGCATTACGCAACGCGGACGACAGCGAGGAGAAAGAAAAAGAATCCCGATTGATTACTTTTTTTTTATAAGGGTCAGCTAATCGGATTCGCATACGGCGCTGATTCCGCGATGCTTTTCCTTGTCGAGATTTTTTTTTTGTTCGAAGAGTATAGAACCGAAGAGACGAGTGAAAAAAAACGTCGGTTTTTCTAGACAGATGACAACGCACGCTCTGTACTCGCATGTCAGCCAAGGCGTCGGAAAGTGGGTGGGGACATCTCTTCATTTACAACTTTTAACATGACAATTTTTTTAAATTTATATAAAATTTAATTTTCTTCTCATTCATTAAGCATATAGTTGATCTGATTACTCGCAATATAACCACATGTTCGAATAGAATTTCAGGTCGCATTATATTATGAAATTAGGGTGATTCAGCATCGAAAAATCCTGCGTTGAAAGTCGTTTAATTTCATGTAAATAATATACTGCAAGTCTCTCCCTCTCTCTTCACTGTCGTAATATCAAGCATTCCATTCAAATCGCCCCGAAAAGAATTATACACATGCAGCCATGCCTACTGTATCTCAAACATTGAAATAGACCGATTACAAAGAACCCTCGGGGGTGGCATACCTCCGAACCTGAAAAATTGCATTTCGAATTTAAACGATCGTGTCCATTCATCGTGTGACTCTTAGCGTACATACGCATACACTCCAGATCTAACGATGACTCATGCCACACTTCTTATACAGCCGCGCAACACCGTTAGGAGTCTTTCAATTTGTCACCCGTGTGACGCGCATGAGAACTCGTTTTCGGTAACGGGTCACGCGAATAGAATCCCTTCGCGTGTGCGTAATGCGCCCGTGCCAATGATCTTTATCGTGCGCCGAACCAAAAAGAAGAAAAAAATAACAGAGAAAAGAAGCTGTAACGCGCGATCCCCGACGGCTGCTGCTGACGCGGAAGGTACTAAAGAATTCCTTTTTTTTCAGGGAGATCGATCACTATACCTTTTCTTCGCGGTTTGACTGACGTTCAGTTTTTTTTTTTATACGAAAGCTATTACCATCACACTCAATGAGATGCGCACGTTATTTTTGCATTAATTTAGAGTACACTACGACCATAAATACTGTTTGATTTACGATTTTACAATCGAGCGAACTTAGTTAGAGTGCTGATTAAATAGACGTTAGGCGTGATGTATCGTTATGAGGTATTTCGAGTGGCTTCGCTTACGCATGGTGGAGCCAAACGCGTATCGCGGAATCGCGACGGCGCCTCTGAAACGGAATCGTTCGAGAATAATCATCTGCGATCGTTCTTGGGAATGTCGCGCGCGCGCACGCGAGACAAACACAATTGGTCGGGCGCACTTTGCGGCGTCTCCGTCGGCATCCGACGAATCATCATAAGTGCGTAAACAGATGCATCATCGCCTGCGCGAGCCAGCGCTGCCGCGTTACGCGGAAAATCGCGTCGCTCTCGTACAATTGACGCGAAAGAGCGTGTGCAGCGCCGCTCGAAGCTACATACGAGTAGCTTGTCAGCGAAGCGACTAACGGCGCCGAAGACAATCGTCGTCGCGAAACGATGATCGTCGGAGCGGAGAAGAAGGACAAAGCACCGCACGCTCGCGCACAAAGAGAGAGAGAGAGAGAGAGAGACTTTCTTCGAGTGTTGCACGCCGGCGGCATCAGCACGCCCAACGAAAGTGTTTTTGCGGCTTTGAGTCCACGTAAGACGAGTTTTTCTTCGGGTGGCGTGCGATGAGAAACCATTAGATATCACTCGGTGGACGCATGCATGCGAGACGGTTGAACTGTCCGAGTGGACTCGAGGATTGGCAGATTGCGGTGGTAGTCGATCGTTCGCAAGTCCTCGTCGTCGATCGCGATAAAAACCAAGCCGATTGGTTTCGGAAGCGCTTATCTCTGCGCGACCCGTCATCAATATTATTCATCCGTATCGCTCGGCCAACTTATGGTATTCCATTAGGTCTCGCGATATAGTAATTAGTGCTAACCTAAAAGAACGCATATGAATATACATATTCTCCGAATGGCAAACCAACTTCGGCGCACATATTTGCAATGAAAACAGAGGGTAAGAATGGAAGTTTGGAGCACGAAGCGCCCGTACACGGTTTCTTTCAAAAAACCTATCCCGTACGTCCAGTTTTCAGCGTGTGTAACCCGTTAGCATTCCATCCCAAAAACAAACCTCGAAGAGCCACGCGAATCAAATTACTGCAGCGCTGCGCTGTTAGTCGGCTGCGGTAGTGTGCAGTTATATCCTACGACGTGCCTCCTGTCTCTCTCACCCTCCCAAGAAATTTCAGCTCCCCGTATGCATGCATGCATGCAAAAGTCGTGCATTAACAATATCTTTAATGTTTACATCCGGTGTACTTTGCCTCTCGCGCACGGATCGCGTTATATAAAATTTCTCTAGACGGAAGCTATATAACATAATGCACAATGCGCGGAATCGCGCTTTTTCTTCTTACGTACGCGCATGCACGTGCGCGCGAACGATAAGCGCCGACTAATCGGAATGTGCGTTTGCAATATAAAACGCGCTTGTTGTCCTATTCACTCTCTTCGGAGAACTTTCGCGGTTGCCGTTGCGTACTACTGCGTTGACGTGTGACGAAAATGACGATAGAGAGCGAGAAAGCAGCATCTGTTGCAAAGTCACAGCGTTGCAGAAATGCTGGTATCGATAATGCACAGGTATGTATCGGTAAGCGTCGTTTCGAGAGAATCATATAGCAGCAGCAAGCAAGGCAGTAAGGAAGGCTCTACCTGTTAGCTCGCATTCCACGGCGGTGCTGCGGCGGTCGTTGCGCTCGTCCGACAGGATCTTTCGCTCTCTCTCTCTCTCTCTCTCTCTCTCTCTCTCTCTCTCTCTCTCTCTCTCTCTCTCTCTCTCTCTCTCTCTCTCTCTCTCTCTCTCTCTCTCTCTCTCTCTCTCTCTCTCTCTCCTTCTCGACTTCAGCCGTAGTACGGAGAGCGCTTTCACATAAAATATCCTGCGGCCTTCTTGCCTTTTGCAGTCGCACACTGTATACACACTTTTAGCACCTCTCACTAGTCACACACCGCAAGGCACGCACTGCACATCGAATACAACGCACTACCTGCAACAGCGAGAGATCCTGCTTTGCTGCACTTGTAGCACATACTGCCGCGCGGGATCCGTAATGCTACGTAAGAGAGAGGAAAAGAGAGAGAGAAGTGAACGAGCAACGGGAAAAACGCTACTGCCTACTCCTCCGCCGCACGAGTGAGCGCCGTCGCGCGTTTGTGTATACTCGGCGCACGAGCAGCACTCCAACTTCGCCGTTCTGCCGCTGCTGCTTCGTACTCTTTCTCTCTCCCTCTCTCACTCGATAAAGCTATTTCTCTCTCGCAGTCAACCACCACCACCACATAGCCTTTGTCCCGCACGTACTATACGAGTGGAGGCGCTGCCTGCTGTTGTCGCCGCCGGTCGCGTCCCCTCCACTCGAACGCGACACGTGGTATCATCCTACGCGAGTCGCGAACGCAGTGCGAAGCTGGCCATACGTGCATGCATGGGGTTTTGGCTTTTAACGTATAGATAGATACTCGACAAAGTCGGGGAATAAAACAAAGGCTCGAGAGTCGTTGTTGCTTGACATTTGACTCTACGTACAACCACAAAGTGCGGTTAACTTCGAAGAATATTTGTCAAACGATTTTATAATTATACGAACTCGATTTTGCGAGGTTTCTTCCAGAGATTTTACAGATTTTCAAGCCTGTGCCGAAATTTTGCAGTCTGAATGCTCGAGCCTCCTTAGAATTTCAAAATTGAGCAAATATCAGAATTCTAAGTTTTTAAAAATTATGTCTGACTTGCTTGTCACGATATAAAGAAAAAGGAAAATAACTACGTGGCAATTGTCTACAACACGGTTAATGCCCGCGAACGGCATTTAGATTTTTTGTAGTTTTCGGGGTTTTCGGAAATCGAGCTTTGGTTGCTTGTCACTTTTTACCAAACCTGCGTATGTCAGCTTGAAACGAACTACCACTTATCCCCGTGAAATGATTAACTTGGTGACAAGTATCGACAAGACTTGGGTCTAGACGTCAGAAGGGTCACTCGGTAAAGCTCGCTAAAGCTGGCACGAATTTCAAAAGTGATAAACTCAAAAATCCCTCCATAACAAGTTATAAACAATTTCTTTAAGTCGTGGTAAAATGGACACAACTAATAAAAATTCATTTTCGAGTTTATCGTATTTTAGCTTGTGTTATCTTATTACTTACTTATTCGATAAAAACCAAGAATATTTTATCATTTTATTTTGAAATTGATTTACCATATTTATTGCTTGCGCCTACGAAAACAGAATGAGCAGTGCGGTATTTCAGACAATACACAACAGCATGATTTCCCTGAACAAACTTTGCAATTACAACTTCAGCGGCGCGAATTCTACGTTTATTTGACTTCAAAATTAAAAGGTCTGCTTACACTAAAAAATTAACTGATATAAAACTCGATTTGTTTACGTAATGAAAAGAAGTTGAATGTATAAATGTTATGCCTCTTACTTATTTAGTTCACTTGAAAAAGGGCACTTTCAGCATTTTAATCACCGGTTTTGTTTTTCTTTATTACTTCAATGATTTTCCAACGACAAGCGTGCTATTTCAGATGAAAAAGAGAACATTACTCCGAAATTTTTAACGAAGAATGGAAAATGAAAATTTTTCTTTTATTTTAAAGCGCAAAGGTAAAACACAATTGAACGCGATTTTCCGCGAAATCACCCTCGCGATCCGTAATGGGCGGGTCAAATCACATAAGAACAGCTACGTTGAGTGATTAGACCTTGCGATGTCAACCGATGCGATGTAGACCGAGAGATGGACGCCAAGAGGGGACAACAGACCTTTGAGCGCTAAATTTGCAATGTTTGAATTGTTCATCGCTTTTTATGAAGGCATTTTCGAGATCATCGCCTAAAAATTCGGCTGCTCAAAATACATATAAAAAGAGCTTTGGTTAGCGATTGAGTACGAATCGACTACGGAGTCCTGCCTGTGACGCCTAGATTACTTTGGTAACTCGAACTATTTCACGTGCTAATTGGCAGATAGCACATTTTTCAATATTAATATTCATCGATGCTTCTTACGCGAGAACTCCGAAAGAACCTTAATTCAGTAATGTCGAGTGCTGCGTTCTCACTCATCCGGTTCCCGTTGAAATGTAATTTGTCGTGCGAACATTCACATAGCGCGGACGCTGCGGAGATTCTATAGAGTCGAAAGGTCGCGAGCACGCTGTGCTCCATGTGAAAGTGTCGATAAATAGTCCGGGAAAGCGTGCGCCGACAAACGAAATCTCACGCTGGGGGCAACAAAGAACTCGTCAACGGGGGACAAATCGCGACGCACGTCATCGCGATGAGACTGCCATTATAAAAGCGCCAGCATGGCGCTCAGCCCTGATTTGTTTGGAAATCAAAGGGCAAGCGAGCACGCGACACGTCGTCGGAACACGGGTATATATATACGCGCCGAGATAAAAGCATTTCGAGCGTGAGCGTCGGTCGGCGGCGGGAGCGGGTGGGGTGAGGCGTCGAGCGAAGAGGCGCAGAGTACGGACGCGATACGGGCGCCCTTGTCACGCCCGTAAATTGCCTTTCGACTTGCGGCTCTCGCGGCTGCGGGGCGGCTTCACAGCCAAACGCGCTGGACGTGGAGAATCCGTCGAGCCAAGTCTGTCGACGTAAGTTGAGGTTGACCCGACGATGACGAGGTCGGCCGCTGTCTTCCGAGAATCGCGATGATCGCGCGCGCGGCAGCCTTCATCAGCCGGAAGATCCCTTCGCAGCGAGACTGCAGCGTCTTTCGTTGGAAGCTCAATTGCATGTCGCCTTGTTGCAAGTGGGTCGCACAGACGAGCTTGTTGGCGCTGATCTCGAAGCTCGGGGACAGAACTGATCGCGCATAAATTTACACGGATGTATCTAGGCTTGCTTTTATTATATCAAGCACTTTCAACGACTAGCATTGCATAACTAGATTAACAATTTGCTTGTAGCAAGTAAAAGCGATCGAAATAAATAGCCGTTGTCTGCGGCTGTAGCTCTGACGGACATCTAGCGCGCATGACAATAATTTTCTAAAATTGTCAATGATTCAATACGGTATGTCGAGCACTCAAGATAAGTCCTTTTTTTATGCTTGCATGCAGTGTCAATTGATATTGCATGCTGATTCTCCTTTGTATGTATCATGACGTCCAGTGGAAAATTTCAACAAACGGACTTTTTCTTCGATTATAATTATCGCTGATGACATTGCTCTTCTACTAATCGCTAATGAATTTTGAATGCGTCTGGTCGAGGAATTGAACTATAATCAAGGGTAATTGCTGGCAACAGCTTCGAGTAGTGACATAAAATATTTCAGTTGACCGGCAAACGAATAAAAAGATGGTATGAAACTCGCAGCGAGCTAAAAAAATTGCGCTTTACAAAGAGCTGCGTTCTTACTCATATAGAAAAGGAAAGAGAGAGAGAGAGAGAGAGAGAGAGAGAGGAAAAAAGAACTGCTCCGAGCTGGTCGTCGTCGGGGCTGTGCGCGCCGAACGGAAACGCCAAGCAAGCGCGCCGCCGCGTCGCTGCAGCTTGCGGAAGGTCACTGACACACAGCAGTGTACGTACACACCCAAGATCCTATCATCTTTCGTTGCTCTCCCGAGCAATATAGACGAGTCGAGAAGCGCGCGGGTTTCGGCTCTCTCTCTCTCTCTTTCTCGCTCGCTCGGCATTCCTCGCGGCGTGTCGGCTTGCGAAACGCGCGCCCGACTGTTCCGAGCGACACAAGGTCACGGTTCGCAGCATCACGCTGATTATTGAAAACGCAGCGGCCGCAAAACTCCTCGGTTACGTAAGTCTCGCGAAATCTACGCGCCGATGGAATTGCCAATTGGTCGCGCATTGCAAAAAAAAATATAAATAAAGCTTTCGCGCTTGCTCGCGAGAGAGAGAGAGAGAGAGAGAGAGAGAGACAGACAGACAGAGAGAGGCGACTGCTTTTGCTGCTCGTGGCAACGGAGAGGCGCGGACGGCTACATAATTATTCGTTGCGCGACGTCGGTCGAATAGCCAAAATTGGACGCTCGCGCTGCCGTCGACGCGGACGTTTTCTACCTTTTCGAAGTGGCGCGATAAGTGCGCGCAATGATAGCCGCCTTACAGCTTGGCGATAACGATCAAATGAAATCGAGGTACTTGGATCGAGCGAGCACTCGGCTGTGTGGACGCGATCGCTTCCGAAAAAATCTAACATCGCGCAAAAGAAAAAGAGAGAGGAAAACAAGACCAGCCACGCCGCGTTGATCGATGCAGCGTCTGCTGGCGTACGACGAGTTCGAATCGATTGAATCAACCGAAATAAAAAAAAAAAAAAATGAAAAAAGTGTTCTCGGAAAGAAGAGTCGGCAATTATCTGCGAGTTGAGAATGCGAGCTTCAGTACGCGGTACCAGCTCGCATCTGCATCGCCGCGACAGACGAACCCGCAATTGCATCTTTGATTCCCGCGCGCCCCGTCGACCGTCAATTGTCTTTTGATAGCGTGTCTCGCGACAAGAGGCTGTGCAGTCACCGCTATTGGTGTATACGTTATGTATATGTATATATATTTGGATTGTATATTCTTCGCGCGCTAGCTGCTTCATCTGTCGACGCGATATGTAATCAATGCAGAGAGATCCGCGATGCCGTTCTTCGCTTGCCCCTCGACGCGTCACGCGAGCAATTGTCTCGCATGCCACGCGTGCACGACAAACAGGGCCGACCAGATGATAAATACGCCCGCCGCACTGTTCTCCATCGCGCGACTCGACAGATCGATATTTTCTCCGGGATCTGCAACGGAAATAAACCGACGGGGTAATGCTCGTCGATCGACGCTCTACCCCAAATGCTTCCGCGGCAAAACTGTTCCTTCTTCCTCTCCCGATGTATATTGCGATCCTTTCGTATATCGTAATCCTTGCTTCAAGTCGCCCGACCTACACGCGACAAATGAAGAGCGAACGTGCGCGCTCGGTAAGACCAACCATCGTCATCGTCACCGCTGTCATCGTAAGATTCAGTGGTCTGCGGCTCTTTTTCATCGGCATAGTCCTCGTAATCCTCGTCGTCAAGCGTCTCTTTGACTACGTTTTTGCCCTCCTCCTCGCACTCCTCGCCTTCGTCGTTGTCATTCTCGGTTTCTAGGACGTTGTTAATTGTTTTCTTGTACGGACTGTTGATCGCTTGATTCTCGCTTGCCAGCTTCTCTTCCACTTCCGACTCGTAGTAGACTTCCGATAAGAGATGGCGCTTAGTTATATACGTAATATACGGGTAGGAAGCGATATTCGTGGCTAAAATATTCTACAGTTAATTTGGATCAACTACAAAGATTTTCTTTAATAGACGAAATTATTAATATTTCGCGAGTTTACCTTTTACGTCGTTAATGTTACTCGTACGACATTCAGAGCTTTTTCGACTTAAGGCAACACTTTCATGAATGCAAACATACCAGAGCGGTCTAAAGGACATGGTATATATAACACATTGTTTATAAATTTTCTTTATCACAAATTATGATTGATAAGCGTTTATTACACTTTCAAACCATCATGTTCGATACTAATGTTCCTCTCCAAATCACGCATGACATACCAATCTCGAGATAAATTAAAAAAATCAACAGATAATTTTCTGTTAATCGTTCCTTCATATTTCCAATGTTCTGAGCTTGAACCCATCTGAAAGGCATCGGGTAAATAAAAAAATATTTAATCACTTGTAAAATAAGTCTATTATTTTTAATTTGTATCATATATCAGGGGAATGCCAATCAGTAAACATGTTTTATATCGCCATAAAATAAAAATCGAATATTTATAATTAATATGTTATGAAAACTAGACTACGTTCAATCAATATACTTACATAAAACGAACTATCCCAACAAACATTACACACGTGAGTATACTTTAGACTTAACATTTCTATAGCATTATTGTAATTTTTACAGTTTCTTAAATCTTGAATTTTATGATTTAAGGGATTTGAATTCAAATTGCTAAGATCTTCGAGAACTAGATCTGTCTTGCAAGTTAACAATGTAAAAAGTATAACAATAAATATAAGCATAGACTATAACTAACGGTTATCTAAGATGGTTAGAACATGTAGCTGAAGTTATTTATAAATCTGGATCGTGAAGTTATGCAATAAGGATTGGCATATGATGATATTCATTACGTTAGGAAATGTCCACGTGTTCACCATTAGCCGTACCCCTTACCCGTCTTCTATTTTATCCAATTTTTCTATTCGTATACCACCTTGGAAGTTCCGAAGATTTCGTGTTCAACTCATATTTAATCTGGATTATGTAACTCGCCGACGAACACGAAATTGTCAAAATGGCATACGAATAGAAAAATCAGATGGAGTAGTGGTCGGAGTAAGAGGTAAAGTTAATGGTGAACATGTGGACATTCCCTTACGTTTAGAATTTATTGACGATCATGGAATTTATTTAAATCCAATGTACAATTGCAGTGATGAATCTGTCTTTGATTAATACAAGTCCTCGTTGAATACTTTTGCAGTTTCAATTATACTTACAATGTTATTGAATAAAAAGTGAAGTATCTATATTATTTACGCACACTGCTTAAAAGTATTTTAAATAATATTTAAAATAGTATGGACTACATTAAGCAGGATTATCATGCAATTACGTTCTTTCGTTAATATCAATAACTATGTTCCCCAAGAGAATAAAATGTTTGCTGCTGTATTTGACAGCTAAACATCTTTTAAAAGTAAAATAATTTTCATATTGAGATTACATAATATAGTAATTGAAAGAATTTCATTAACAGAATGTTCTTACATTAGTTGCTTGTATTTTTATTCATATACAGAAGTAACAGCTTTCACATCATAAACATGACCATGCGGCTTAATTTTTGCAACTCTGCGATCACTAGACAGCACCCCATACCCATCTTGCTCTTCTATTTCGTGGTTCTTTCTTCTGTTCCTCATACCTAATACTAAAATTTCTTGCAGCTACCTAATTGTATAAATAATTATAAACCTAATATATACGATAAATATCAATTTTAACGTACTTATAGAATATCTGTACTTTACTAATAATAAAATCTCTGTTGATCTTTACAGTATTTTCAGTCTTCTTAAGTCAGGGTCAACAAGTTAGTTTTGCTCTGTGATAAATTCCTAGCAGTTGTTTTGCGAGAGGACTTGTCTGATTGCTGCATTGTCGCTAAATTGATATGTAAATTGGGTTATTCATCATTCGCAACACAGCGGCTTTCGCAATAAATAAATTATTCCATATATTCATAAGTATTTCGAGTCACTGAATCCAAATCTGATGTCCGTTTAACTCTACTAGGTCTTGATCAAAGTCATTCGAAGATCAAATCGCAAATATTTTTTATTTTTTGATAAGATTAGGACACCCATAATTTTTACATGTCGCTGAATCCAAATCCGAGATCCATTGGATTTAGCGACACGTAAAAATGGTGAGTGTCCTAATCTTGTCAAAAAATAAAAAATATTCGCGATTTGACCTTCGAATAACCTTGATCGAGACCTGGTAGAGTTAAACGGACATTAGATTTGGATTCAGTGACTCGAAATATCTATGAGTATCTTTATTTTCTCACTAATCAATATTGATCAATTAGTAATTCAAGAAACAGCTATTGTTTCCCGATTTTACCTTCAAATGACATTGTAAAATATTTTTACCTCGAGTGCAATACTATATTCTTAGAAGATCACAATTGAATGATATACAAGCGATTTCTGAAAATTTTTTATGAAATCTCTAGGTTTGAGCGGCCATATTAGAGCCACCATTTCGGATTTTTCAGTCACCACATTGCAAATGCAGAAGAAAGTAGAGTGTAAGGCGAAAATTTTGAGCCCATCCAAGATTTTTCTAGTGATTTACAATTTTGAACAGAGCCATTATCCGTTTGACGTGGATTGGCCCATATATAGCGCTTCTATTATATTTGATTCTGAAGAACACTGCTTTTATCAACGTGTCATTAAAAAAAATCAATTCAACGATATCCAGCGTCCTATGATTGGTTGACGCGTTAAGAAAGCGCGATAATTTGAATTTTGTTTGTGTTTTGATACATTACGAAATAAAGCAATTATAAATATATTAATTCATAAGGAAGAATATTCCAATATTTTGCTTCTTTGAAAAGCGAAACTTTGTGTACGTACATTTTTATGTGTGTATATATATATATATGAAAAACTTCCAAAACGATGAGTTATCGACACCCAAGAAATTTTGTATTGCTATTAAAATTGCTATCGGATGATTTTGAACCAAAATACTTTTGTTTGGGATAATATTCTGTGACTTTTATAAGCTATAATTTGCAATAGGTATTGACCTGAAAATAAAATAAAATTATTATTTCTATGCAGTGATACAAAGTTTTACGTACCAGTGAAAATGACGGCTCAAACGACGAGAAACATTCATTCAATATACTTGATATAATACTAAGTATAGGTGCAGCAGCATAAATGTGGTAAATTTTCATACATTGTGAAATTTCGGATTTGAAATCTCTATTATTTCTGATAACTGCGACTATATGAAAAAAATTAATAAATTTCGTTAGATTATTATAGATGTTCAATTCTATGATGCAAATGAAGATTACAAAACGCACTAATAGTTGAGACATTTGAAAAAAGGTTTGGTCATTAACGGAGCCGAAAGCTTCTTTGTGATTGGTCAAGCCAAGCAAGCAATTCGAAGCTGCAATGTACAGCCTACAGATCGCAGCAGCGCGACTGTCGTCGTTGCTCTTCCTGTACGGGTCAGCTCAGCTGCGGGAAAGTCCTCGGCTTGGGGGCGAAATATTTCAGGCATCAATTCCATCAGTTGCGACGAGAGTATCGAGCAGTGAACATAGCAGCCGGCGCAGGTGCGAGCCAGAAAATGTCATCGAAGCTCCTGAGACAGCGGGCCCAGGAGTTCCTGGCCTCGCGTAAGCACGCCAACCATCTCGTCGACATAATGAACTTATGGGAGGTAAGTCGAAAAGAGGAAATCGTCTCGTTTTCCTCCTCCAATTTTGGAGGTTAACCTTCTGACGTCGTGCTGCACGATATATATGTACATAGTGAACAACGATGCGAGTAATGTACTTTTGACGTTTCACAGGGCCACACACTAGGATGCATTCTCGCGATGGAGACAATCTTCGGCGAGGTTCTCAAGCGAGGTGATATGTACCTCGAACGAACGATATCTCTGACGATTTCAGGTAGCATGTCGTTAATTTTTGCCTAAAATATTGGTGTGGAGAGTGTTCTCTCTTTCTCACTCTCTGCCTCTCTCTCTTTCTCTCCCCCTCTCTCTCCCTCTCTCTGCCAATGGTATTTGCAAAATGACCAGTTTTATAGGACATGTATTCACTGTGCCCTATATTATCTTGAGCTTCAATTGTGCAAAATTGCTTATGTATGGCTGTTATTGATTAGCAAGTTGAAAGCCATAAAACAATTTATTTACAGACAATAATATACCTCCATGTAATGCCTACTTTAAAACCTCTTGTCTTTTTTCTTATTTCTTTATCTGATTCACACATTGTACTACTATTTAAACTTATATTTGAAGAGGCAGTTTCCGAACAGATATTTCCTGCTTAATGTGTTCAGTTTGACAATAAAATGCTTAATACTTTGGTTTCTCCCTTCACTATACGAAAAATATCCATCCATAAAATCTTACAGCTTGAATTCCTGATTATCTAAGATGAAAAAATGTCCTGTTATCAAAATCTACTTTGAAATTCACTGTTTATAAGTATCTCACACAATAATCTTATAATATAGCACCTACATCAGAGATGAGATATACTACATGGTTGCGAGAATGTTATGAGCAAGTCTGGGAAAAGTTACTGAATTCCATAGAAGATCAAAGAGAATCTATTCAAACACAAGCCCTTACTACTGCAATCAAAATAATGGCTGCAGAAGGAAAAGCACCATTAGAACCAATAGAAAATGTAGAATATTACTTTCCACTGCATAGACTCAAACCAATCATAATGAAGCTTTTATCACCGGACAAAGAATACTTTTCCTTGATTGCTAGATTCCAAGAAATTTCAAACTATTTGGATGCTTTGTACTTCTCTTGGAGGAGTCTGCCATCACTTACTCCAAAAAGGCAACCACCAAATTTATACATTAGGAACTTATTAGAATTCATACATAAAATGCCTGTGCCACAAGAAAACAATGGTGGTAAGGATTCTTCAGTTCGCTTATTTTACATTCTGAAATTGTAGTTTTGTATTTGACAAATTGAATTTGATTTCAGAAAATGGAACAAATGATAGTATAGAACTTCTTTGTGGATCACAGCAAGGTAACCCAATTTTTAATAGATAATCTGTAACAACAACCTGTTAATCTCAGTAAATTCATTAACATAAATTATTTTTTTTTTGTAAACAATCATAGGTTTTAAATGTGATTATGCCGGCGTTAAAAGAGCGCTAAATAAAGTTTGGGCTTGCATAATGCATTGGGAAATGACGCCACAGCTACATAAACAATTGCTTATTGTTTTGTTGGAGAGAGTGATGCCGCATTTGGAAAAGCCAGTATTAATGACAGATTTCTTGATGGACTCTCTGGACGCGGATGGTCCGATAGGTTTACTTGCACTCCAAGGTGTTTTTGTATTAGTCACAAAACACAACTTAGATTATCCAAATATCTTCACGAAACTGTATTCCATGTTTGAGCCAGAAATATTTCACACGAAATACAAAGCACGACTATTCTACCTCTCAGATTTATTCCTAAGTTCAACGTGAGTATTCATGGAATTGACTATCATTATTGACTATTATGATGATGTCAATAATCATACATAACGATCAAATGTTTCCCTCTGTATAGACATTTACCAGAAGCGCTAGTAGCCGCGTTCGCAAAACGGCTTTCTCGATTGACTCTAGTCGCGCCACCGGAGGACATCTTGACAATTTTGCTGTTCATCGGTAACCTGATACTGCGTCACCCAGGTTTGAAACGGCTGATCGATCATCCCCCGATAAGTCACCAGATGATCTCACGAAACGACGAAACGGGCGCGGGCGATCCGTTTCTAGAGGAAGAGCGAGACCCCCTGCAAAGCAACGCGCTGCTGAGTAGCCTCTGGGAAATTCGTGCCCTTCAGTGCCATATGCTGCCAAGTGTGGCCACAGCCGCGCGCTTCATTCGCGAGCCCTTGCCAGCAGCCGAATACGACATGGCATCGGCTCTCGAACGCACTGGTGGCCATATCTTCGATCGCGAGCTAAAGAACAAGGTCAAGGACATCATGCTAACGTTCGAACGACCCAGCTCGATGGCTCTGCCCAAAGGCGAACGATTGCTCCAGTACTGGCAACTCACCACCGCCACCTCCACACATTAAAGATATGGTCTGGTCAGACAACATTACTTAGGCAACCCTTTATTACTTCTACTACTTTTTTGTTTTCATTTTCATCGACGTGTAGTTGTTGATCACCATGTGATATATTAGACAGAAGAGGTAGTAATCTCTTCCTCTTTTTTTCTCACTTTCACACCGAATTTTTGGAGTTAAATTTTAGAGTGTCATTTTCAAATCCAGTACTAATCAACTGCCGTTACTATTGTAACCGTGACTTTTGACGTTGATGCTGATATTCATTGCTGTGACAAAATACGCACGGCAAATTCTACATTTTCTAATGACCCATATCTAATATCTCTTCAATTTAACTCTGAAGCTATTTGAATATACATAGTTTCAATTTTCGTTTTTTTTAACTTTGAGATGACTTTTTATGAAGTAAAATCGTACAACTTTATTGAAAATCGATATATAAATTCTGATGTATTTTGAATTTTTTATTTGTTAATTAAACTTTGAGTGCAATAAAAGCAAGATTGGGGAAAAATAATTATCCAATATTGCGGTGCACTTCCGACGTTAGAGACTTTGGTATTGAAAAAAAAAATTTGAATTATTTTTTAAGTGGACCTAATTATTCTGCTTTTATTTGCTGTACTGTTATAATATCTTGTGTAATACATAACCGTTAAAGTCAGTTGTTTATTTTCTCTTTTAATGTAGTAATATAATTTGTTTGTACCTGGATATTGTAATAGCTGTAATCAATATTTTTGATTTGTACTAGCTTTTCCAACAAATAACTTTAAAATATAATATAAGCTTGATCAAAAGCAAAATCATTGAAAGAATGTAACAACCAGGATTTTAAATTCTGATATTTCAGTGAAAAAGAAACGTTTAATATTATGGCAAATATTGACTTGTGCCGTTAGTGAATAACACTAATTTTGTTATAGAACTCATTTATACACACGAATGTGAAATAATAAAATATTTTAATTTTAAACAATTACTTTACGTAGTAACATTTCTTTTCACTTATTACGCCAAATGTCCAGTTACAATATTTCCTTTGCTGTTGGTGTATACTTTTGCAAACAATTTTTACAGTAAACACTTTAACAATAAAAAAATCGTAGATTACAAAAAAATGTTAACGTGCTTAATACTAATCGATTCCTAAAACTAATGAAAAATACTTGCTATGTACAATACTCATGGGCTTGAAGAATTTACCGTAATTTTGGATTTTTATCTAGTATCTAAAATTGAAAAAGAATTATTTTAGAATGAAAAAAACTATACATCTATATGAAAAATATATTTAATTACCTCTGTCAGCTGTTTCCATTCCTCGTCAGATAACGCGCGTTTTATCTTGAATAAAATTTGCGATGGAATATTAGGAGTAACCGCTGGAGAGCTGCTTTGGAAGTAAGAAATTTCCAAAAGTTCAGCGACAGTGGGTCGAGCTTTGGGATCACGCTGAAGACACTTCCGCATGACGTCGATCAAAATTAATGGTACCGGTTGTGATCCAGTCATCGTAGGAAAATTTATTTTATGTTTTGGATCGGTGATGGCACTTACTTTAGCCCACGTTTGACGAATATGATTGAAAGGCGTAGCATTATAGACTAGACTGTACAAAATGCAACCCAAGGACCATATATCTGATTTATAACTCAACTAAGTAAAGTAAAAATTTCAAATTTATTACTAATGTATGAGAGTTAAGCAAGAAAAAAATTAGCAAATCTTTAATATCAATTCACCTTATATTTAGTATGACTGGGAGATTCAGGATTACCCGCACTAACATCCACTAGTGCCTCAGGACTAATGTAATTTAACGTTCCACATGTGCTATTTTTAACTACAGACGTCATATCTGCATTGATACTTGATGCAATACCAAAATCTATCAATTTCAGCCTACCTCTTACTAATAAAAAGTTAGCTGGTTTTAGATCTGAATGGATCACTCCTAAAAGTTAGAATACGAATATTAAATTTCCATTCAAATTAAAATAAAACTCTTCAGAGCATATAATTACCATTATCGTGAATATGTTTTACTGCTGTCAACATCTCCGTCCAGTAGTACAAAATCATAGTAAGAGGTAGCTGTTTCTTTTCTTGTAACATTGATTTTAGTAATCGACTCAAATCTGTATCACCAATTTCCATAACAACATGAAGACTGGGTCCATTTATTTCACTGGAAAAAAAAATTTATTTAATATATTTGAAAATATTTATTGAATATATATGAACAGTAAAATTTTTACAGGACAAACATTGCATTAAAGGAAAATATACTTACAAGCTGTACATATTCACAATACAAGGAGCTCTCAGTTTATCCAACATTAAAATTTCTTGCAAGCAGCCTTGTACTGTTTCTTTCTCCATTTTACTAAGATCAACACACTTTATAGCTCTCATTTCTAAAGAAGCTAAGTCTTGAGCCCTGACAACCTCACAACTCATACCATGACCAAGAGCACCCAACACTAAATAATGATTATTTTTTACAGTTATTATCTTATTTTGTCTTGAATTAAACATGTGTATTTGTTGAGGAATAGAACGTTGCATTGGTCTTGACTCTTGGCTTGTGGCTGGAGCTGATACACCCTGACTTTCGCGCACTTGATAATTTTCTTGTCTCTCTACAGATCTTGATGGTACATACATGTTACTTTGATGTACATTTGCATATTCTACTTTTTGCATGTCATTCTTAGAATGAATTGAATGCCTGTGTTCTGACTGTGATAATTTAACTTGACTGTTTTCGTAATTTTCAGTTCTTACATTTTCATGAGGATTTGGATTGCGATTTTCTTTCAATTCACAAGGTGTTTGCGCTGATTTGTAAAGAGACTTCTTTTCCAATATATTATCTTGTACAGATATATTATCTCGGGATGTAACAGAAGGACTTGGCTGAGATTCATGAGGAAATTCCTGCAGTTTTGGTAGCTGTGGACCTTGAGCTGAAACTGAAAACATTGAGTCTGCCAAAGGTCTGCGTACACTCTTATTTTCTCCAACATGGTACCTAATGCAAATAAAATGAATTAAATGTTCAAAGTTTGCCATAACTATAATCAAATTTTACATACCTCGGTGTTTGCCTTGAAGTTTGAGCTTGTGAAATGTTTGTAGCAGGTGTATGCATGGTTTCTCTTGCAGAAGATTGACTGTTCATTGGGGTCTGAGCCATGTGCTGCTGAGACCAGTGGGAGAATATTGTTGCTGGTGTCTGAGCTGGATTTTTTGATACATCAAGGCTAACTTTACTCTGTGGTGTTTGAAAAATATTCCTGTGAGAGTTACATGGATTTGGCCTTGTGGATCCTTGTGGTATCTTCATAGGAGTTTCTGTTACTTTTTGTGAATTCAATGCCGATTGAGAAGAAGAGACCATTGATTTATTTGTTTGACAAACTTGAACTTGAGAAGGAACTAATAATTTATCATCTTGTGTGGTGCTAGTAGTAGAACCAATACTACCAGTAATATTATATGTTTTACTATGACTTGAGGAGCAACTTACATGTACTTCTTGTGATTCTCTTACACTAGAGTAAGATTCAAAACTCTTCATTGTTTCTTTGACTTCATTACTTTGACTTGCTGTACTTGCAGAATGACGTTTGATTTCTGGAGAATATGATTTATACTGATTATTAAAATCAGTTTCTTCTTTGGCCATTGAATGCTTTACTTGATCAACTGCTTTAACAATTTTTGCTTGCCATTGCATTTGAACTATTGCATTGTCCTTATCTCCTGAACAAATATAACTTTTACGTTTTATGGCACTGTTAGATTTATCTGACATTAATTTTTTTTCTTGTTTGATTATAGATTCACTGATTTTTAAAGAATCTTTTACATAAGTACTCAATTGTGATTTTTCACTATCGTCTACTTTTATACTAGCATTACTTATTTTTACTTCATCTTTTTTTACAATTTCATCTTTACCAATTCCAAAATCTGATTTGCTTTCTGCTATTCCTTTATTGCGTATGGTACCATTAGTTTCAGTTTTTTCAGTTACAGATTTAGATACTATATTTTCATTACATTCAGACAATGGCTGAAGGCCTTCCAAATCATCACATTCTTCCTCTGATTCATCAGAAGATGGTGCTTGATCATCACTTTCATCGTCACTATCAACATCAGCTAACAATTTCTTCACCAAAACAGGCTTGAATATGGGTCTAGATTCAGATAGACGTTTAGAATTATCAATTAATCCTTCTTTTTCTTGAAATGACTTATCATCCATGTTGATACTTATCTGATATATAAAAAAGTAACATTACAAAATAATAACAAAACTAAATAAATTTGAAACATTGCATACTCACATTTACAAAAACAAATAAAAAATGAATGAGCTTTATCGATTTTTTTGTGTAAATCGTAACATGTATAATTGAAGTGCGAATAAGAAAAAATATTATCATCGATCGCACTTTGTAGGCTTCCTGTGATCCATCCTTTTGCACACCTGTCACTTTGTACGTTATTTATGCATGAACCTATAAGTAAATCTGCAAAACTGAGAGGAAGAAAGAGAAGTAACTGGATGGAGCTATTCACAATTCAAAAGTAATTGTAAAATCAAAACTGTTCACACATTTTGAATAAATAAATAGCAATCGGACAATGACGGGTTTTGTAAGATAATAATATTTGTTTCCCTATACAATTTAGTACGGCACGATGAGTACCGGTTCTTTACAGATAGTTCTTTGTCGTTTATGAACGAAATTCAAAACCCAAAGCGTATCTGTGATTGGTCCAAAGAAATCACTAAGCAGCGCCATCTATACAAAAATTCTCGCGGCAATTTAAAATACTACCAATCAGATGAAGACTTTTTAAAATAATGTTAGGTTATGTCGGTTATGAATTCAACGTATAAAAACAAAAATAAAAGTAGCATACGAAATAGTCAAATTTTGCGAAAAACTAGTCAATGCAAGGTTAATAAATTAATTTAAATATGGACATTTGTTCAATCTACAAAAGCCTCGAGAAAACATAAGTAAGTACAATTTTTCAAGGTTTTAAAACTACTTTCAATGGTCTTTTGATTTGAAAATCGATTGATTCAGTTACTGTAACGGATATAAATATGTTTTTAATTACTAATTATTTATAAAACTATTATAAAACGCCTATTAAACCTAGCATGACAGTTTCATCATTATGCGCTATAATAAACGTCGAAATTACAGTTTTAATAAAATTTTTATTATTCAAAATTAATGCTAGAATAAGTTTAATAAATTACATTATCAGTTTCAAATTAACTTGATATTTGTTGATAACTAAGCCAGGTCAATTTTTATGTCATAATATATATTGTTAATTTATTAAGGTATATATACTTGAACCAAACTTATGTTATCACTTTTGTGTTTATTGGTAAAACTTATAAAGCTTATATTTTGCTGTTTTACAGGTTGTAGTAGTGAATTTTATGGTGACTCGAAGAGGTGTTTAAATAAACAAATGTTTAGGATAAAATAACTTATAAATGGCAAAAATTTTAACTGACAAAGCTGTATATGAAAAAAGCAACATGGTCCAATACACAGTACTTAAAGACTATTATAACTTGGAAAAAACGATTGGTTGTGGAGGTTTTGCTAAAGTAAAATTGGCTACGCATATTGCAACAGGTGAAAAAGTGGCCATTAAAATAATGGAGAAAGCTACTTTGGGACAAGATTTACCAAGAGCAAAATTAGAAATCAATGCAATGAAACATTTATTACATCAGAATATTTGTAAGCTTTATCAAGTAATGGAGACTGAAGATTACTACTTCATTGTTATGGAATATTGTTCAGGGGGAGAATTATTTGATCATATTGTTGAAAAAAGTAGGTTGACTGAATCAGAAGCCAGAAAGTTTTTCAGACAAATTATTTCAGCTGTTGCCTATTTACATAGCTTAGGATATGCCCATAGAGATATTAAACCAGAAAATGTTTTACTAGATGAAAACCAGAATCTCAAATTAATAGATTTTGGTTTGTGTGCAAAACCAAATGGAGGAATGCAATCTCATCTGTATACTTCTTGTGGATCTCCAACATATGCAGCACCAGAATTAATTATGGGAGACAAATATTTAGGATCTGAAATTGATATTTGGAGTTTAGGAGTTTTACTATATGCTTTACTTTGTGGTTTTCTTCCTTTTGATGATAGTCGAATTGAATACTTGTACAAAAAGATTCTTGATGGTGAATATGATGAACCAGAGTGGTTATCGCGAAGTAGTAAGAGACTAATACGAGCTATGCTACAAACTGATCCCAAGAAAAGAATCAACATAAAAGATCTATGTAGTCATCCATGGATAACAGCAGGTTTCTTAAATCCTGTAAGCATTACAAAATTAAGTGGTTTTGAAAAAGATGAAGATGTCTTAGATACTTTGACAAACATATTTGGAGGAGATTCTGACGAATACTGGAACAAAATAAAGGAAGACAATAGAACAGATTATAAAACTGCTACATATTTGTTATTGTTAGATAAGAGAAAACAAAATCCTGCAATATTAGCAAAGTTCCAATCTGATTATTATAAAATGAAAAGAATCGCTGAGAATAATGTGAATAGATCTGATTCAGTACCTTGTGAATCATCAATGAAAGGACGTAAGCGAAGAAGAAGTAATGATCATAACGAAATTACTCCTCCTGCTCCCACAAAAAGATTTGCAAATACTTGCAGAAGATCCGTGACTCCCATTCGAAAATCAACAAATTGTGGTTCTTCAACACCATCTACACCAGGCAGCGCAAGAAAATTATTAACTAACTTGGAAAGAAATTTCAACAAAGTCAAATGTATCTTAACACCAAAACGTTCAAGAAATTTAGAATGTGAGAATGTGAACAAACCAAATATATTTACAGGAAAAAATTTGTGTAACTTATCTTCCACATCCAGTACTTCACCACAGGATATTTTATTACAACTGCAGAATGCTTTGCAAAAAAAAGGTATTTTATGTAAACAAAAAGGTTTTATACTTTATGGAGAAACAGATACTTCCAAAAGAAGGTGCAAGTCTAATGTTATAAATGGTTCAAAATCATTGCCATCCAAAAGCTTCTGTTCTTTTGAGCTTGAAGTTTGCCTAATAAAAAATACTGCAGAGAAACCTATAGTGGGAATTCGGAGAAAAAGATTACAAGGCGATGCATGGATGTACAAACAAGTTTGTGAAGAAATCCTTGCACTTGCTGCTAAACAATTACCAGATGAGAGAATTAATGTTTAGCATTTACATGATATGTCTACTGTATACTTTTTTTTATACGAATGTACAATACAACATGCATGCATGTTTATGTATAGTATAGGTATAAGGTGTTGGCTTATTATTCTACATGTAATGATATAATTGCGTTATTTTATATTTTTTATAAATCCGGAGTTGTAAAAGGGGCTAATATTATTAAGCCTGCCTAATTTTCAATAAAAGAAATTACGTTATATAATAAATAATCATTAACATTCCTTCTACATTTTTTGTTATTAGGATTGTAATTTATTTTTACTCAAATTAATTTTTCATAACGAAAAAATAATTTCTGTTCTATCGCTTCGTTATATGACGTAAGATTATAGTGAACAAGTATTCATTGTAATAAAAAGACATCATTTTAAATAAGTCATGTATTAATTATAGATCGTATCATTTACATTTTTATTTGAACAAAATACGAATAATTCGCTAGTCAAAGGACGTCTGCTTCGAAGGAAAAGAACCGTTTATTAACTTGTTTCATAATAAAAAAAATCTGTTTAAAAAAGTCTTAATTTAGCGCTTCGTGCCGCATTCGCCGGAAGCCTTGTCGAATTGAATCGCAAGTGCGACTCGCGTTCCGACACTTGTTCAACTAATACTCATAGTTATCTAAACTTAAAAAACAATTTTGTCTTTAGTAAAGAATATTTCCAAGTCATATTTCCGAAAGGAATGCAACACGAAGCAAAAGGTTAAGAATAGAGCTTATACGACAGTTGAATACAAACTTTATCTTCTAAATTTAATTTAATCGATATAATATAACAAGCGTGTTTGTGTGTATATATTTCATCCACCGAGTTTGAAATCCTGCGAGTCTCTATGAATCTACGCAACAATTCTCTTTAGGTCGCAATTCACACTCATTATTTTAATCGACGGTTAAATTAAATTATGCATTATAACAAGTATGATTTTTCATCATTGCCGTCTCGAAATGAATTAATTTTTTTTCAATGAATGGAACAAAAACTGATTGGTGTAATTTTTTCAAGGAAGTTCTAAAGAAAAAATTACAAAAAATAAAATAGTAAAATAAGCACAAACATTTATATGAACATTTAATTATTCAAGCATAAGGTAACATTTTCAATTGTTTTTCTTTTAAATTCGATTACAAATGTATACTTTTGATGAGTTTCAATCGCACTTAAAAAAATTTGATTGCGTCCAATACTTCAATTGATTGAAAGTCATCAGAAGGCCTTATCCGCAGCGTTATCTAAACAGAAAAATTTCAATTATAGACAATTTGCTTTTTTTTCCAACTTACAATTGAGAAATCTAGTTTATGCACATTTTACTCCATTTTTTTTATTTTTTCCTTTATTTACTAATTTTATTAAGTTTATCCCCGTGCTACCTGCGCGCTCCTCGTATCTTGACAAACTTTCTCAACAAACTGGAAAGCATTCTTGAGCTTAGGAACTACTTGGCAGCAACCGTAATGACGCATCTGACTTTTATAGACAAAAATCTCTTATTTGTATCTTTGCCCTTACATCCTAGCAATCATTCTAGGCAATTTAACGTTTTATTCCCTTTTTCTCAAGTTTAAGTTTTTACTTTGTTTTTGTTCTTTTACAGTTCTGTATTAAACTCTCTTTCTCTCTCGGTCTTTCTCAGTGAATCAACATTTATCATCGTATGGTTCACGGTCAAATTAAAAAACATGAAGGAAAGCTGTCTTTCGTTTTTTATCAAGAAATCAAAAATATATAAAAATGTTCTCTCATTTCTCCTAGAAAACATTAAAATTATTGCAAAGACCGGTAGAAATAGATTGATTCACAAATCTTTCTCCACCGTCCGTTTTAGCGCCCCACAGAGGCGCAAAAAAAGAGATAAGAGAGATATAAAAAATAATATTTTATTTAAATCTTAGGGACGAAATTAAGATTTGCATTTCGATTAGTATGAAGTTTTGTTCTAAACTATGATCAAATAATTTTAACGCTTTCCATTGTTAAAAACAGCTCGCAATGGTTGTTTAAACGTAGCTGCCGATTGTTGTTGAACCTGGTAGGCTAGAGGATGAATTTTAAATCCATATAACCTGAAAAGCATTAAAGAATGGACAATTAGTTAAAAAAAATAACAATTTTATATTCATGTAAGTAACCATCTTTTAAATGGTTCAAGAAAATATTTTTAAATTTACATATTGAATTATGAGTGTTAGAAAAATGAAGTGTTATTTAATAACAACCAATGGACAAAAAAAGTAATGCATAGAAACATGATTCACTTGTATTTTTGAACAGTGTTTCAAGATGATTCAACTAACCTTGGTACAAATTGATTTGCTGGACGCTTTGGTCTGTATTCCGGATGAACCATAAAGAGCATATGTGGAAACCCTGTTCCAAAATATGCTCCATCAGTGTGATGATGTCGAGAACTTTTGGGTGTGTAAACATCCATGCACTTTGGACAATAATTCTTGACCATAGCCTCACCAGGCACATCACTCAAGCCTAATGGAAGCATTGGCTGTGATTCACAATACACTCTGGGACAGTGTCCAAAGTCACCAGCCTGGTATTTTTCAATCATCTGGGCGATTCCTCGATTTGTAAGAATGTATCGAGCATGAATAAGACCATACAGCATTTCTGCTGCCTGCTCAATGAGATCCGATTGATTGGGATTGTCATCTAAGTCTTCGTCTAGAAAGCAAATGTATAGCTGTCACATGTGTATTCAGTTTTCAAGGTTATCAAAAGTTAATCAAAAATCGATTGTCCATGTTCATCATTATATCTATTGATCAATAAGGTTTGCTCCTTTTGAGGACAGTAGAAATTGAAATCAACAGAAATATACTATACCAGGCTCCAAATCAAGGATCATGTCCAGTGCCTGGCGATAATGTGGAACTTGTTCATTGAGTCCTGTCAAGTTAAACTTGTCTTGGATGTAATCCTCATCAACCTATTCAAAAGAAATGTAACTTTTCAAACAATGTTAAAGATTAACAAATTTTAGAGTAAAGTACCTCAAAGTTAAGTTCATTACAGCAGTAAATCAATAATAATTTAACTGGTCAATGAAACATTAACAGAGTCAAGCACAGCTGAAAAACTGCAGTTATCAGCAAAAAGACAAGTGAATAAAAAAGAAAGAGAAAGAGCGTGTATACGCATATTAGTGTGGGTAGAGACTCACCTCGCAAAAGAATTCATTGCCCTTGAGGCCACAGAACCACGAGATCCACGAGACTTCCTCCGAACTGCTCATATCTCTGATATCTCTGTTGGGATCAATGAAATCATCAGATTTTTCGATAGCCGATTGCTTTTGGTCCTCCAGTCTCATTTATATATTTAAGCGCGAGGCCAGAGAGAAAATGGTACAGATGGACGGACGGACCTACTTAAACGCGGAATGAAGGTGCACACGACGACAGCACGTGAACGTGTACGGCAGGTATTGTTAGTCGACGACTACTAGCGAGAGCAATTCGCATAAGGAGGGACAGAGGGACTCGAAGGAACGTCTCCGCGAAGTCACGGAGGTGGGGGCGCGGGCGGATGACAACGCTGCTGCTGCCCGCTCATACGTTAGAGATAGAGACATACTGTGCGAGAGAGAGAGAGAGAGAGAGAGAGAGAAAGAGAGAGAGAGAGAGAGAGAGAGAGAAAAATGCGCCCACAGCTAACAACAGACCGACGTCGCGCAATGTTAAGGTTAGATTGTGCCGGGGCGATGAGCTACCTCAGGATGATGTCTTGCTCCCAACCATGAGCGAAAAATTAATGAATCCATGTATATACCTGAGTTTGATCGAAGAAAACAACGCAAGAGTTATTTACACGAATACGTGACCGCGACGTGAACGCAAAAAAAAAAATACTGTCTACTTTTCGACTCCCAAATGCTTCCTGCATCATTCATGCACGACAAGATGCCCGACGCGGCGTTGCTTCCGTGTCTGCTCCAGAGGCGGATCACCGACGAGCCTAACGATATACCGCGAGACTCGGTAGGCTAGGGCTGAAAATACCAAAGACGTTGACAACGGGGTTACGTACCTTTTGGTGCCTTGATTAGCCACGCTTGCTCGCTTCTCTTGGGCCTGCTCGTCTGGCTCGGGGGCACCAAAGAAGATATATCACACAGCTCGGCACTTGCACTCGCGCGGCTCTCTTTCCAATACCACACGTTGAATATAATGCTAGATGTCACTACGTACATACGTTGCCTGCTCTGCTACCGTGGCGATGCCTGCAGACGGCCACGGGCCACTATTGAACTTACGTTGAAAACTGAGATTTATTTTCATGCAAATGCAACCTGTTTTATGAAAATTAAGCGCAAAATTTGGTGTAATAAGGTTTCGATAAATTAATTATTTATTGGTAATTGAAAATGTTATTTGGTGAATGATTTGAAAAATAAATTTGTTGCAAATAGTTTAGTCTTGTTAAAACAAATTCTCATTCCCATTTGGCAATGGGAAACAATAAAAATAGAATATACCTATGTGAACAAACACGAGCACCAAGAATCGGTTATGAATTTTGACAGAACGTGTCAGCTACTAGTTGAAGACGGAATATAGTCACGTTTACTTCTAAATAATATTACAATATACTTTGAGGAAGTCTTTCGTGCCGATATCTCGCGTACAGGTATTGGCAAGAAATTAGTAAACAAAGCAGAAAGAGGTATTTCCAACTTGCCGAGCGGAAAGTAGAACTTTTCCACGAGTTGTTTTGAAAATAGCATATTAGTTAACTATAGTGCAGAAAAGTAGATGCTCGAATTAAGCAAGGCTGTAAAGACACACGAAACGGGAATCTCTTTTTCTTTCCAGAATGTTGCGCGGAAAGCTCGATTTTGAGCGCACGTCTTTCGCCGCGTTTGCGGCAAAGACGTCCTTTCCGCACGCAACGTGATGAGAAGTAAATTCGCTCGGGACGCACGAAACGAGCACTTTTAGTTAGATAATGTAGATTAATTAAGGTAATTCAAACGAAGTCCCTCGGTGAAATACAAGAACGCATTGAAATTGAATTGATTTTGCATGTCATGTTTTCATGCACATTGTTGGAATTTTCACGTTTCCCTAATTGGAATACAATGTAAGAAATTGTAATCACGCTGTTGAGCTCGTTTGCAGATTTACTGCTCTTTGATGAAACATTTGCTGGTCAAAGTGGCCGAGGATCTAACTCAATCAATTTGAAGAAGAGATTCTATCGAAGAAAATCGAATTCTTGCGCAAATTCGTCCGATTTCGAGCGGCGTTTAACTACCGAAAATGGGTCATTTTAAAAGACGTTTTTGAAGTAAATGTATGTTCTAAGATCACTTTACTTCTGCCTGCATCAAATGAAACTTGGCCGACGTAGCGCCGACACCTCAATCTCGTATTGCTCGAGGCAAGCAGGTTTACGATCGAAAGAAGATCGGTCGATCAAATTCAAAATCGTCGCGTAGGTCATACGCCAGATGGCCGGAGACCGAGCGAAAATTAAGCTAAACGTCCGAGCTGACCCGAGAGCTTGACACGCGCTGCTGCTAGCTGCGTGAAAAAAGCCCGAGCCGTCGAAGTAGGAAAAGCTTTCGGCAGTAGTGTGCTCAAACGACTCGGGGAGCTTGCGCGCTCGCGTCGCAGCACCAGCAGTACCTTTTCACGATAAATAATCGCGTATCGCGTGAGCGTTGCGAGAATCGCCATTGCCCCGAGAGCAAGCAGCCGTCCGGATCCGCATCGAGGCAGCGACGAGGGCATTCGCACGAGGTAAGCGAGGCGCCGTCGAGGGAGAAAAAACCGTTGCGAGCGAAGGTCCGTGGGTTGGTTATGCGACGGATCTTTTTCTGCGCGCGTCTGCGAGCGAGAAAGAGAGAGAGAGAGAGAGAGAGAGAGAGAGAGAGAGAGAGAGAGAGAGAGAGAGAGACAGAGAGAGAGAGCGAGAGAGGGGGGGGGATGGGCGAGGAGCGCGAGAGGTGCGGCGCGGTCGCGGTGTCGAAGTTTTACCTTGCTCCAGCCGCGAGGCGCAAGCCACGGCGCGCAAGCTAGTCAAGCGACAATAATAGACTTGGCTGGAACCTGACTTTTCTCTGCGCCCGCCAAGCCGCGAGCCGATTAAATAAATAGGATCGCTGCCATCGACTCTTGAGCTGCATAGCTGCCTGCTCTTCTCTTGCCTGCCCGCGCCGCTGCCTAACCTTTGAACGTTATTCAGTGCGCAGCTTTCGCGCCTCTCGTACGCTCGTTTATTAGCCTCCCTCGGCGAAGCTCGTTTTTCTCGTTACGAAGCCGAGTCGAATATCGCAATCGTGCTACCGTAGGCGTTGGCTGTTTAGTTAATTGCGAGTTCGCCGAGCCCAAAACTTTCCTCGGGCACTCTCATCGATCTTAACTTGCCTGTTGGCGTTGCAGACAATGGAGGGACAGCAGTTCTGTTTACGCTGGCACAACTTTCAAAACACGCTTCTCAGTTCTTTACCCAAACTGCTGGACGGCGGTTACCTAACTGACGTCACCCTGAGCGCCGGTGGAAGACACATTCACGCCCATCGACTCATTCTTTCCGCCTGCAGTTATTATTTCAAGGAATTGTTCAAGGTAAGATCAAAGTCCACGGGCGCAACCAATCGTCTCCACCACCCGCTCTATGACTTACAGGATTTGAACTCGATTCAACATCCTGTTATCATCTTACCTGGAATGGAGTATGCCAACCTGTGTGCCCTTGTGACGTTCATGTACAACGGAGAAGTGAACATTTATCAAGAGCAGCTCCCTGCGCTTCTAGCCATGGCAGATACTTTACACGTTCGTGGTTTGGCTGACATCGCAGGGGTAAACTTCACTTTTATGCCAATCAATTTTCTCTTTTTTTCTATTCTGTCACCATTTTCTATTCGTCTTATATCACCGTTTTTTTTTCAATTATCGTTCACCTCCAATATCTTTTTAATTTTCCAATCTTTTTTCGTTTCTCCGCTTTGCTGCATGTTGACTAATTGATTCTCTTTAAATAAAACCTTACTTTATCTTCAAATTTATCTTAACTATTTTCGTAATCCGTCATTTATCATCCTAGACTTTTCTTTTCTCTTACTTTCTTTAACAATATTAAAAACAAAGATTGTGTCGTTGTTTTGTTCAGGTGATTTAAGCACGCGCACATTCACTGTTATTCGCTGCCAATCTAAGCAAGCGGTAATAGTGAATGGCCAAAACAAAAAACAAACAAAAACGATATCCATGAGATCAAGAATCGTTAGTGTGTGTTGCGAGACAGTAAACAGCAACTAAATGCAAACGTGGATGAACCCCCTCAAAACATATGGAAAACCCTTTCCTACAAGTAGACAGTTGTACGATCAGGTATAAATAATGCTGTTTTTTCTTACATTATGCCGATTTTAATTATTCGTTTGCGCTAATCCAAAATGCGTTAACGTTCCACGCGAAAGCGTTACATTCGTTTTTCCACTGAACTTGTGTTTCCATCGATCATTTCAGAAGGCATCCAGATACGAAAGTCATCAAACGTTAGATGTACCGCCAGCATCTCGCGATGACAAGTCTTACCACTTGGCCGAGAAATTCGAGCTGTCCTCGTCTAAGAGCGAGCACAAGGAGCACGAAGAAGTGCTGACGCCCGAGCCTCACGAAGCAGTCGAGCCGATCGCCGCCGATTTCTCCACGGAAAATATCGAACGAAGCATCGACGCTGAATCCTTGTCTAACAACGCTAGTGATTTGAGTGATCTCCCATGTAGTGTTAAAACCAAGCCGTATTACTCGATCAACGCCAAACTAAACCAGCGCGAGAAGAAGCCGCTTTTCAAAATCGACAGTGGCCACTCGAGTAATAGTATTTTGAAGGACGACTGTTCAACGAGTCCCTTACTGGACAACGTAAAACCGTTGTTAACGGACGCCACTTTCAAGTCATTTTTAAGTGGTAGCACACCGAGTAGAGCATCATCGCAGAGTTGCAACAAGACCAGCGTCACGTGTTTGATTTGTGGTAAACAGTTGAGCAACCAGTACAATTTGCGAGTCCACATGGAGACGCACAGTAACAGCTCGTACAGTTGCGCGGCATGCTCGCATGTGTCTCGTTCCAGAGATGCATTGAGGAAGCATGTATCCTATCGACATCCCGTCAATTCAGCGCAGAAGAGAGCGAGATACAGCTCTAACAAATCCTAACGATATACCACCGAAAACAAAAAAAAAAAACGGACTCAAAAGTTGCAGTGTAAAAGTGTTTTTATTAGACAGGTATCCTTTCCACTGACACTCAAACATAACTTCAAACTGAAAAAGATAAAAGAAGAGCAGAAGGTCGATTAGAGGTCATACTCTTTGACTGAACGTCACATAACTTCATGGAGATAGTGCGAAGCATGTTGTCGCACGTGACGATAAAGTATTTGCTACAGTGCGATAAAGAATAAGAATTTAAGCTTGTAAATTGTTTAATTGTGATCTTAATTAAGTATTTGAGGTTATGTTTAGAAAAGGAGAGGTGAACAAAAGTTCCTTTCAAGACCCCTTAGTGTTCATATTATATTGTTATTGCTTGTTTGATTAATTGTTATATACCGTTAATTTGTTTTAGTAAGGCAGATCTCGTTCTTTTTTTTTTGAAATGATTATTAAATTTTATTTTTAGTTGTGGATGGTTAACGAATGAAATTTAGTTGTCTAAAAAAGGAAATTCATTGTTTCGATAGTTTATAAAATTTATAATGATTGATACAAAATTATTTATAACAATATCTAAGTTTGCATAAATTATAAGATAATAAAAGAAATAGAAATAAAAGATTTTATTCAAAACATTCAAAAATGGCATTAAGATAATAAATATCCACATAATTTATACTTTCGATTTTAAAGAAAAATATAATAAAATATTAATTTGGCCGTTTTAGTACAATTATTCATTGTATATCAATAATTTATGTATTGAAAAATAATATACAATCCAATGGCGATCTAAAAATCAGTGAAAAACAAATAAAAATGCATCCGTTGTTAATAAAGCTGCTCCTTGGAAAAAAAAAGATTCTTTTTCATCACGATCAGATTTTCTCCACGCGCCATATTTTTGTATTGCAATCTTGTCCAACTGAAATCACTGACTCGTCGTTCAACCACTCAAGTTTGGTGATTTGACTTTGTGAATGAGCATCTAAAACAAAATTTTTATTTGAATATTAATTTAAAAGTGATTTGTTGGGTTACAGTGGTTGATTGCAGAGTAATCTATTATACTTTTGATGATTGTGTGTTTTGCTGGATTAGAAACACTCCAAATAATAATAGTTGTGTCAAGGCTTCCACTTGCTACCATTGTAGACTCAGGATTCCATGCTACACAATTAACTCTTGCATTGTGGAAGCCCCATTCCTTATTATGTGCCAACTAATCATAAAATAAAAATTTTTTTTTTTAACAAAATACGAAAAACTACAATAGTGAATATGTATTTCATGCAATCATATACATATAAACGTTTCGTGCGGCTCTATCAATTATTAACATCAATTTCACATTTACTCTAAAAAGTACATATTCATTTAAGATGTTGGATCTAGATTAACTTACCTTCTAAATATCCGAAATTTTGGAAACATTACAAAAGATATGTTAGTATTTTTCTTAAAATTTAAAAAAGTTAGATTGTCGAGAATGTAAACCTAGTATCATGATAAATTACCTTGTACTCATCCGCCACATAAAGTATGACTTTTCGGTTAGAGTCACAGGCAACCAAGTATTTGTTGTCAGGACTGTAAGCTGCACCAGTCACTCCACCTAGATGCTCCAGTTCTGTTTTCGGAGTAAGATTAGTGCCGTCCAGTGTATAAATATATACCTATTTATATAACAGAAGAGCAAATTAGAATAAAGGAAATTTTATGGGTGAGACCACCTGAATTTCAAACATAAACGACTGTATTTGCCTTGTTATCGGAAGATGATCCAACAGCAACGTCACCATTTCCTTGATTAATTGTTACGCAGGATGGATCATAATTAATCGGCAAGCCCGATACTTTTTTTTCTTCTTTCGTAACTATCAACTAAAAAACAAAAAGCAATGTATTATAATTAAACTTAATTTTCAGATACAACTTGATATTTGAATAAACATTTACCTGTTTAACAGCGGCAACAATAACTATATCACCATAAATATCGAGTCCTCTTGGCTGCGAGCCCAGCCTCAATATCGCTGTATTCTCGTATGAGTTGGTGGCGATGTCGATCGTCCGCAAAGTGTCATCTATTCCGGCGGTGTAGACCACATTGGCCGATGCCTTCATACCATTGATTTGATTGCCGTGGCCTTGACCACCGATACGGTCATTTTCACCAGTGGACGATTTCCAGTTCGTTACATAACCATCATGCGATCCCGTATAGATTGTACTTTTGTCTTGGCTGGTTGTTAATACTGTGATTGGTTTGTTATGCCCCTAAAATAAAAGGTTTGGTAAAGATTAATCATGAATAAAATAGTTTATTTGCATAGCTTACCTTAACTATCCTCAACGGTTTCAGTGGATTATTAACGTCGAGATAGTTTATGAAGCCACTTAGCGAGACGGAAAGTACATAGTTTTCTTGCCATAAACAGCTCACCTAAAAAAACAAATTAATCTTTAGTTGCAATAAAAATGCAAAAACTGAGATTTGTTACCTGTTGATCATCAACTGTATTGCCCATAATGAATTCATCAACCAGAGTTCTCGTCTCTACGTCCCAGAGTTTGCAGGTTTTATCACCGGAGCAAGTCAACAGTTGAGTTCCATCAGGCTTCCAAGCGACCTATAAAAAAAAACGTTTACGACTTACGTTGAAAACCGCTTTTATTAAAGAGTCACGTTGCTTGTAATGTAATCCAATAAAAAGTCGAACTTACACCATACACGCCTCCTTGGTGGGCAGGTGATCCGACTTCACCGACAAGTTCGGACGTTGTACCGTCATAGATGTAAACTTTGCCGTCGAAACCTGCTGACGCAAATAGATTGCCCGATGGCGAATAGCGAACAGCTTGCACGAAGCGAGTGTGCTCTTGCTTGGTCATCCTGGGGTATTGCAAGAAAGTAGGATTACGATTTACAAACGCTGATATGCCAATTTTTTAGCTCTCACTTGAATTTGAACGGTGGTCCTTCGAAAACAGCAATTGTATTATCTTCACTGCCGGTGATCAGTCGAAAGGGTCTTGTCGGTCGGAAATCGCAGGAATTGATTGGCTTACTTTGCCCGGATATTTCTCCAACGGAGGTACCAGTTTCGGACATGAAAACGTGCCCGAATCTATATTAAATTGTAACCGAATAGTTAAGGATTTATTTGGTTCTGAAAACATATGTTTGTAAACGATCGTTACCGTTCTCTTCCTTCTCCAACGACGACCATTCGTTGGTTGTCGGGCGACCAAGCGATGTCCTTGATGGGCCCGCCGATCGGATGAAACTCATTTTTCAAAATATGCTCCTTGTTCACCGTATCCCAAATTCTAACTTTACCAGATTGATCTATAAACGAATCGTTCAGAAAAGAATTTTGTCATTTTCAATCTCCGACTCGTCCACAATGAAAAATACAATATATCACCTCCAGACGCAATGTAAAATCCACTAGGCGAATATTTGGCTACGTTAACAGCGCAGGAGTGTTCTGTGTAGATGTCCGAGATAGCTGGGTTCTGAAAGCGCACAAATAATAATGAGAAAATAACAACAGTTGAATGATGGTATTGAAGAGTGGTCGTATAATTACATCAATATTGCGAATGATGACGCTGTTTCCATTGGCATACAAAAAGTTCTTGCCTTTGGGATCTCCACCCAAAACCAGAGGCTGCCCTCTCTGCGTTCGCGGCAGCGTTGCAAAAATGTTCTCTACATAGAGTCGAGGAAGAAGTATCGATTCAATCAATTGAAAGCCCAACCCACAAGAAGTTTAATTTGGGGCCACTGCTTGAAATGCGACGCTCTGGTATCTCATAGCGGTAACTCAATTAGCTCGATATAACTTCAAATCTGTTTTTTCGCTTTTCAATCAAAATTTCAATTGCATTTTTCCAATGTCATCGATTCACATTGAAGGTACAACGCTCGCCGACACCGAAATTTAATCGTCGCATCCTTTGCATGCGAATATTTCATCATGTGTCCAGCGGACGATTTTATTATGTAACGCGGTTGCCGCAAATAAAATCCGAGAAAAGAAACTAGCGTCCAAATACGAAAAATGAAGAAAACAACAAAAAAACAACAACAGAAATATCATAGAATCCAGCAAAAATCGCGCGCGCATCTCTCTCGCTCTGTTGGCAGCAGACCAGATCGAAATATCGCGGTCTATTTTCGTGTGCCGCCATAAGCATCTATGATTAGGATTTTGTCGCGATTCACTTCATATTTTTCTGCAATATTTTTTGTATGGATATTTTTTAAAAATTTCTTCTAAGTAATTTTTTATTTAAATATCCGTATATAGAAGTCTACAGTCAAACACAATATTAATCCAAAATGAACTGATTGAGCTATCCAATTGTTCTCTGTCAAAAAATGTTCCTGGATATCCATCATAATAAGCATATAACTCGTTTATTAATACACTTCATTTTCGGATTCGAGCACGGCTGAAGCCTGTACAAACAAAATTTTGATGACACAAACCACGGTTACTCCGTTAATCATTATCTCGAAATAAAATTGATCCACCGGATGTCGCGCTCATCAATGAAAATAAAAAAGCAATTGCACCCAATTACACCGCAAATAGATCTTTCAAAATACAAACACATCAGCTCTTTAGAATATATGTCGTTCCGTGAGTTCAGTTTGCAGCGAAATATAAGAACGTGTATAGAAACCATCAGAAAAACAATTACCATGGTCGTCGCGGCCGGCATCAGTCGCGTTGTGTTTGTCAGCGGTAGATACAGAAACGGTAACTATGCCGGTACGCTGTTTTCTTTTTTGGTTTTTCGTCGACTGCACACGCACACATAGAGAACGCGAGTGAGAGCATTGTGAGTCACCGCGGATCGAGCACCGAATAGCCTGTGCATGTATCCTAGAAAGCCGGCAGGATATTCAGGGCATTACTCACTGACTTCGTACGACATCGTCGTTGGATTTTGATCCTTGATGTTACTGGTCGTAGCACGCACTGTATTCCAAACCACAGACGCAGAGTCACGCGCACTCACAGAATTGTCGAGGATTTCGAGTTGTAAATACAGGGGCCTCGCCTCTGCTGGGAATCGAACGGTGGCGTGTAACCTCGTTCGATGCGCGTAGTCCTCTGTTCTGAACTCTCGTCTTACAAAAATATGCAACGACGAGCAGCAGTAGCAGCAGTAGCAACAGCAGCAGCAGGGAGGAAACAGTCCGCGCGACTTTTCTCCACACACTACCGTCTATCTGTCTCTGTTCTGCTAGCGCGAGCAAGCTGACAGTATTGTGTGTCCCCACCCTGCTGTTTCATGGGCTATCTCCGTTCGTTGCCAGATATACGGGTGAACTTGTCTCTCTCTCTTGCGGCAGGGCCGTACGTATGCATGCGGGCGGTGTGTCATTTCGCTGCCGATCTCTTTTTTATCTAATATTCAACTGTGATAGAGGTATTATATACGGTACCGCTATGGTTTTACTGTTTTACTCGAAGTATTTCGTGCGTCATGGTAAATAGATGAAGGCGCGTTTAGCGAGGCCTGCGCGTGTACCATTTTTATTGTTGAAAAAGCTAATTATTTAGAGAAAAAAATCCACAACTCGAAAATGAAGCAAAACTTTCTAAAGCAATTTCGAGTGGCGGTGTAATGTATTCTCTAATGTATTTCGTCTTTTTGCATCATTCTTATATTGCGGTGCGATAAAAATCCGTTGATATAAGCTTGTGCTACCTTGTTCTGAGCGACACGCTCGGGAGATCCGAAATCGCCTCTAATTAGGCGAAAGTTTATAATGAAATCGCGTTGTGTGGAATGTTCGTAAGAACTGAGCAGAAAACGAAAAGTAATGGAAAGTGTGACGACGAAAGCGAGAAGCGCGTAATGCGCGTGAATCCGCGAGTTTTGTAATTAAAATATAAAATGCCGAACAAGTGCGTTGCGGTACATCGGACGTGCATAGCGTGCATTTAACGCAACGCGCTGCGCGCCCGCGTGTCTTCGGTACCCGCGTGAAATCGATACTCTTTGCCGGCGTTATTTTTAAATGCAAAATGCAGATGCAGCGAGGCGCGCTCCAAGTTCCGCCAAACCTGCGCGAGTCCCGCCGGTCGACGTTGCTCGCGGAGACAATAACCCAACCCAATTACACAATACCGTCGAATCCGGCGTATAGACGTCCAGTCGTCGAGGAACAACGCGCATCCGACTGCCGTGCCTGCGCGCATATAATCAACCGTTTGGCTCGCGCCTCCGCCTTTTGCTCTTTCTTCGTTTGAGCCGCGCTCGGCCACTACTCCCGCGTCGCTTCGTCGTCGCCCGTGAGCGCACGTGAAAACGCACAGCGGAGCGCGACGCCAAGGAAGACGAGACTGCAATCTCTCCGCGCTGCGCCTTATTAGGCCGCCGCGCTGCATAATTATACGCCGTATCCAACACGGCTGCCTAGGCGTATCAGATCGCTCTTTCGAGCGAATCGCTTCGCTTTATAGAGGCAAAGCAATTCGACTCGAGGGCAATGCTCGGGCGCTTCAGCGGGCGCGAATTCGAGGTCATGCGACTAATTGTTCTCACGGTCAACCGTAAATCATAGGCAAAAAGATCGAGGAGTGATACTGACTAAGAGAGGCATGATAATTGCGAGCGCGCTCGTCGACATTAGGAGCGTCCACTGCTCCGCGACGTTGTAAACATCTTCGACTCGCCGTTGCGAGAGCTAACGGCTAATTTCGCGTTGGTCTGACAATTGTTCACATTTTTTTGGACATTCATTGCCGTCACGTGGATTTTCGCTTTGGGCAGTCACTTCGCGCGTTATCGCCCAATCTAATGAAAATCAAAAACAATTACTTAATTACAAAGTATTCCCATTTTCATCGTAGTTTAATATGAAAATCAACTTTGCAATGTGAATTGGCTACATTCCGACAGGTAAGCACTGTATTTGCGTCAACAGGTAAATCAGTAAAGATTCAAAATCAGCGCTAAGTGGTGTTCCGGAAACTCGCCTTATCGCGGCGTCAACCGGCAGACGTCATTCATCGCCGCTAACTTCAGCGGCAAACAGACGCATGCGCAAGTTCATTGCAATGTTGGAAGAAGGTTCCTTTTGCGCGAGAGTCGCGCCATCGAAGGTGTATCCGTTGCAGGGTCTTCGGATTTTCCATCGAAAATGGTATGTCAACGATCAAAGTCAAAAATATCCAGTGCAATGGCTGCGCAACTAATTGTTATGCCAGTACCCGCGATTTTCCGTTAAAAAATCATTAAAGTGACAATGATGTTTTAAGATTTGTCCGAGGTTCCGGCTTGACAATAAGACTTCAAGCACGAGTTTTGCCAATTGATCTATTTGTTACACTCAGTGAAACTTTTAATTTAACCACAGTGTCTATGCCTTGAGTCTTATTCGGTTGGTTTTGTTCATTTATTCTTGCTAAAAAATCAATTATGTTTTTGTTTACACGTGACATTGCAGTGAGGTTAGGTATAAAGCTTACCAGTACCGACCAGATGATTCGTTTTTTCATGTTTTCTTGTCAATTTCACGATTTTTTTAAAAGTTCATCGTCAATTTTCGTGTTAACTATTTTATATTACGAAATTGCCAAATGATGATCCACTCAGCTCGCTATGATGCATAACTGAAGAAAAAACAATTGTTCCCTAATATACTTTTATATCTGAATGGCAATTATTCAATATCAAACATATTTTAAGGTTTAATAAGGAAACATAAGAATTGATTGCCAATGTTTCTTACAGGGTTTCGTTAAGGTTGTTAAGAACAAACAGTACTTCAAGAGGTTCCAAGTCAAATACAAGAGGCGTCGTGAGGGAAAGACTGATTATTATGCCCGTAAACGTCTTACTGTTCAAGACAAAAACAAGTATAACACCCCTAAGTACAGGCTGATCGTTCGCTTATCTAATAAGGACATCACTTGCCAGGTAAGGTATTATATCATACATTATTAATGTTTATTAGAAATAGCATACATTCTAATTAACCAACTTTTTCTATAGGTTGCATACTCCAGGATTGAGGGTGATAAAATTGTTGCTGCTGCTTATAGTCATGAACTCCCAAGATACGGAGTCAAAGTTGGTCTTACCAATTATGCATCTGCATACTGTACAGGTCTTCTTTTGGCCAGAAGGGTAGATATTTTTAAATGCTTAAAAAAATTTTTATTTTAAATTACTAAATGATGATCCACTCAGCTCGCTATGATTTATAACTGAAGAAAAAATAATTGTTCCCTAATTTTTATCATTATCTGAACAGCAATAACATATATTGTTTTTATGATACAATTCTAAATTTCACTATTTCATTTCATACATTTTTTACAGCTCTTGAAAAAATTGGGTCTTGACCAATTATACACAGGCACAACTGAGGTTAATGGTGATGAATACAACGTTGAAGAGCTGGACAAGGGTCCTGGTGCATTCAAGTGCTATTTGGACACTGGTCTCATGCGTACCACCACTGGTGCCAGAATCTTTGGTGCCATGAAGGGTGCTGTAGATGGTGGTCTCAATATCCCTCACAGGTAAACACACTTTCAATATATGCAAATCTTTTATTCTTTCTACTATTAAGAGTTTTAAATGATGAATTTCGGCACATGCGCGTCATCTGAGCCATCAAATAGACTTCTCTTATATTCATGTTTTATGGATATAGGTTGAACCTTTTTACCGGCACCACAAGATTATAGAGTGTCTCTGATCGTTTGCTTCTAAAAAAAAAAATTATAATCAATTTTCAAACAGAATTATTATGTACACGTGTTCCACAGTCTGAAGCGATTCCCCGGCTACGACAATGAAAGCAAATCTCTGAATGCCGATGTTCACCGTCAACACATTTTCGGACAGCATGTAGCCAACTATATGCGTACTCTTGAAGAAGAAGACGATGAAGCATTCAAACGTCAATTCTCACAATACATCAAGAATGGAGTTACCGCTGATAACGTGAGTTTTCTTCATTTTTTGTTATGTAGCTACGTCCAACTATAATTGCTGTATTAACGTTCAAAGTTATGCAGCGTCGCTGTTGGACAACATCAAAACGATTGCTAATATCAATTATCAAACTTTCCATTTGATAGATTTAGTTTTCGTTACATTATCTTAAAATAATACAGCGTGAATTAAAAATTGAAGATAAAAATCTCATAAGTTAAAATACTTATTGCTTTCAGATCGAGGCCATGTACAAGAAGGCACATGATGCAATCCGTGCCAATCCAGACGTAGAGAAGAAGCAAGAGAAGACAGAGCCAGAGGAGAAGAAAAAGAAGAGGTGGAATCGCGCGAAAATGTCGCTTTCGGAGCGCAAGAATCGTGTCGCGCAAAAGAAAGCATCCTTCCTCAAGAGTCTTGGAACAGAAGACGCATAAATACTTCCATCTACCTTTATACTGTGTGCCGGTATTTCACACATCGGCTCGTAAAAGGCCGATAGTTATCATAATTATAATGTATTTTTTATGTGTAATACGGGTGCATCAGTATGAGAGTAATAAAATCGTATGCGTTTATCTCAATTTTTTTTGTAATTTATATGAGTATCTGGTTTCATAAAAAATCTTAAATTCTACAACCTAAGCCTTTTTTTACGTCCAAACATTTTTAATACTTTGATTTTCAAATATACTTTTTCAAAAATATAAGAACTATATCGAAACGTTACATAAATTATCTTACGATGACTAAATCATAAGCGGTACCATTGATTTTGATCAACGTCATTGGGAAGTGTTTTCAGCGTAATCCCAAAGTTCGACCTACTGTGACTGAACTTTTAAAAATTTCTTACTTCCGAAACAGTTCTGCGGTGGCTCCTAATATTCCACCGCAAATTTTATTTAAGATAAAATGTGCATTATTTGATGAAGAAGGAGAACCAGCTGATCGAGATGATCAAATACATTTTTCATATAGAAACATAGTTACTGCCATTCGAAATTATTTTTTTCAATTTCAAAAATCCAAAATTGTGATAAGCTCAATATTTTATCATAATATTGAACCTCAGCTGTCATGAGAATCCTTACACACATGAGAACGTAAGATCCGTCTTTTTTATTCTTCCAATGTTTTGGCATTTGATTAAACTTACTATATTTTAAAATTATTTGTTGGAAACATTAATACGTGTCAAATATTGATTACAGCTATCACAATATCAGGGTATGAAATAAAACGGTATATTACCACGTTGTAGGAGTAAATAAACAACCAAATGTAATGTTTATGATTTACGTAAGATATAACAACAGTACAGTAAAAAAGTGAATCGATATCTTAACAATTATTATTATTTTGGCTTTAACCTAATAAACGAAAATTTTCTACAAGAATCATTTTATTACATGTGATTTGATATCTTTATTTCTTTTCACTGATGAATTTTCACTTGTGCTCTGGCCAAAACGAAATCAAATTGCATTAGGAAGCGGTAGAATGCGTGGTATCGTTTCATCGTGCACCTCGTTATAAACGATTTTTCTCATAATTACTCTTGGAAACATTAATCATTTTCGGTAGCGACAATCAATTAAAGTAACACCTCCCTTATCTGACGACGGCGGTCGTTTCCAATATCTCCAAAAAAGGTCAGACATGTAATTATAAATATTGTTAATGTGATTCTTGCATTATTAACTACACACATTATTGTAGAATTATTATCGTTGGCTGATGGCTGGTGGTGGTTGACGAACTGTACGGCCATATAGATAGGCGACAATACTCTCGCGAAATCGAGCGCTCTTTTTCAAATCAACAAATATGTTGCAGATAATAAGAGTGCAAGTGATGTTTCGAAATTCTCAAAAAATACAGAAAAGAAAACAGTATACAACATGCATTGACGCTCTATCTAATTCAATTCTTGATGCGATTAAAGATTTGTGCATTTATCCTTGTTGGATTTTATTGTCAAATAAAAAATAACGTTTGGTTGTTTATTACTGATGCACAATGTTTTAATTGAGTCCACGCCTGTAATATATGTTATTGGCTTGTGATGCGCACAGCATCAGAGCTGTATTAACACTGCTGCTGATAGAACAAGCAAATCTAACTATACATTCGCAGACATGTTAAACATTTTCTATTTACTGTCAAACATAAATATAGTTATGGAAAATTATATAAATGCTTTCACGAATATAACTATCATGCTTAACTGTGTTTTAATTGAAAACTATAGTGACTGTTCCTTCGAACAATTGGTGAGTATCGTATCTAATTTTAGTAAACTTTGCGCAAGAAAAACAAAAGTAAACGGAAAATTGAAGTCTTTTTGCTGTTCAAGCAAGCATTTTCTCCAATGAGGTCGGAAGAGTTTTTAATTTATCACTGTATACCAATAAATATTACTTATATTTGAATTGTTTAATCATGCAATAAATTAAAGTTTGTCTACCAACTTTCATGATTTATTTAAAAATAAAAAAATGTATTATTACATATTGTTAATGAATGATTGACCTGAATATTCTAATTCATGTATTATATTTATAATAACGTATGGTAAATTATCATAATTCAAAATTAAAAAATTAATATCAACAGCATTTTTTATCCAGTATTTTTACATACCACGCGAATTTCGCATTATTTATTTAAATTTGAAGTAATAATTTTCAGTTAATATTTACTACTTTTAACTTTTAATGAATTACCGTTAGAAAAACAATACTATAACAATACTATTAATCAAGAGGTTTTGTTTTAGTGAAAAATAACCTCCAACGGTATCACAAATTTAATTATCCGTTTCCAATGTCAACTACAGATTGTTCTTGTAGTACGAAAGACGACGTATATATATTTTGACGTATTTATCATCTTTTACAATAGCCAATCACTTTAAAAATATATACATATTTTTATCTAGCCTGTGGAAACATGGAGTAGTTGTAATGTTTCAATAGACTGCAAGAAAGAAACGTATGAACTACCGCTACTCAGTTCCAAATGTTACACGCGTCCAAAATTTAATCAAGAATATACACAGGAAGTTTGGAGTTCCGAGCAACTGCCACTTGATCATGGTAAATAAGAGAATCACCTATTTCTATCGGATTCATGTTGACGCAAAGATTTATTCGTAGGACCCATTTCGGAAACCTCCGCCAAAGCACAGAAGCATGTCCTTGACAGGAAGCGCGATCGCGAAGTTGCATTGCAAAATTTTCGAAATGAGCTACGAGATCTACACAAATCATGCGACGCGAAGATCGAACAGCTCGAAAGCAACGTACAAGTCGACATCGACAAGATCCGCGACGACATAGAGAATATAAAAAAAGATTTTTGCGAAGTAACGCCACATCGATTCGCCGATTCGCGCGCAGCTAAAATCACGCTAAATGTATTGTTACAGATAGCTTGTTTGGACAACGACAAATACGAATGCTTGGTAAGCACGGTCGAATCGATGCTTAGTCGGCAAAAGGCAAACGTCGACGAGTTATCCGAGCTAACTAGAAAGGTGGAGAGAGAACGACAAGGCGACGCGATCAAGATATTCAAAAAGTTTTATCAAATTGTGAGAAAGTTGTGTTGCGCGCCGTTGGACGAGCAAAAGCACCATTTCGAACAAGAGATCGCGGTAGCCACATATATATTTTTTTTTTTCTTTTATGGCGTTAGTCGTTAAAATGAACACTTCAATCGTTACCTTTGATTAGGCGTACAATCGGACAGTTTTGAGAAATAACAAAAGCTACGAAAAAAAGAAATTGCAATTTCGCCTGTCAATTGACGTTTTGAAGCAAAATTTTCACGTTTGGCTGAAAGACGTCAAGGACGATCGAAACGCCGTTTGTCGAAAAAACGCTTTGGACGACTTTTAGTAAGCTATCGCAAGCGATATTTGCATTCGTTTGTTGATTCTCTTTGGCATTTCAATGGCGAATATTTCAAAGCGCCGAGAATGAAAAATTCAACAACGCAGGATTTGCGTATTCGAGAAAATTGGACGGGCAGGCAGCTCTGTGTCGATTAAAGAGTAGGACAACGATTATCTCTTATCTAGTCTCGCAATGGGATTTATCAGTACCTTTCCCGGCAACAAGATTGCACGATCAATCTGCTCGGTTCGCTTCGACGATGACGTCAACCGGTATGACAAATTTATCTCACCGAAATTGACGCATCGTTAACATTGTGACAGAGTTCGTTTCACAGATGCGACGATTACGGGCTTCATCAGATCCTATAAATTCTACATGTCGAAATGTCTCGGCAGATTATTCAATAAAGTCAACAAATTGAGATCGATCGTGGAGATGATGGATAACGAGGCCGAGGCCCAAGACGAACAATTAATGATTGTCGAAGATATTTATGATAAAGCGAAAATACGAGTCGACGATTTCACGGCGAAACTGGAAACAATGTGGAGTAACGATTTAAAAGCGTTGAATGACAAAGCCAAGGACGTGTTTGAGACTTTCATTGACTTCGGTTCACCGTGGGACGCTTTGTCCGTGATTTTTCTCAAACAGCAAGACGCCGTTGCCCAAAGACTGAGCAACAGAGCAATAAAAAGTGAACCAGCTCATCTAGATTTGCAGCAAAAAATCCTCGTTGAAGTTCCGAAGTTGAGGGAAGAGGAAAATATTCAAAAGCTCGAGAAGAAAATGGCACAAGTCGTAACGATTCTCGAAAAAAAGGATCAAAGGTACGCAGGCTTTCGTTTTCAATCGCTTCTATGCCTTCTATTGGAAAAAATCTATAATTTTAGCGATTACCAGGTACAAAGCCGACTTTGACGAAGATTGCAAAATCATTCGGAAGGGCACTGAAGTCATGGCCGAAGAAGTGAGTACAACGGCCGGCAAACTCGACAAATTTCTCGAAGCCAACAAATCTACCGTTGGTGAGTCTTCCACAGACAATGGGGGCACTGTAACTTCTTACGAATCTGGTCAGAGTGACAGTTTCGTGGGCGACTTGAAGCTAGAAGAAATCATCATGCACGACATGGGCTTGATGGGAGCTCAAGTTGACGTTCTTGACGAATGGAAATCGAGGTTCGTCAAATTAAAAGCTTTTGCAATCGATCTCTTGCTCGCAGCTGTGTACACCGATGCAAAATTGTGACACTTATAGATTCATTAAGAATATGCTCTCGTACCGGCCGTCATTCGAGAAAGAAATCATGGAAGTCGTGGAATTGTGGCAGAACAATTTGATCGACGAAGCTTTTCAAAATCTACAGAGAAGCTTACAAGTCGGTCAGGACTTGCAGCTAGACATTCGTAGAGACGTCTACGATATACGCTATAACGAATTATTACGGCATCAAAAGGATCTAGAAAACCACATTACGGTTAGAAACTTTTTGAAAATCTCGCGAGTTGAATGAACTTTAAACGTTTTCATTTGATGTCTCAGGTAACTAACCGATTTTTGAGCGCGCCATCGAAATGCACGGAGTTGTTAAATTATTCGGATATGATAGAAGACTATAAACACGAAGTTCAGCATCTCATTGATGAAAGAAGTCACAATACTCAACATAGTACCCACATCAAATGTCTTCGAAACACGGTAGATTTATTATATAAGAGATATTGAAATATTACTCGATTTTCGCGTAAAATGTTAATATTCTTACAGATAAATAGAATAAAAAATAACTATACTGACAAAATTGACAAAAGAATGAACAGTAGCATAGAGAGGTTGGTGAAAAAAATTTCAATAGTCAATGATCGTGATGAGTCTTTCTTCGGGGAAATAATGTAAGCATAAATGGCCAAGTCAGGGTTAAAGTTAAACAATAAAAAGTTGCGAAATCGCTTAAATTTACGGATGCAGGTTGTTCAAAGACGGTGGTACTTACAGCATCGAAGAACTAAATACAGCTAAAAAGGAAATGGCGACATTGATGAAAAATATTCAAAAAGATGAATCGACAAATCGCATAACAATTGCTAAAATTACCGACCAAGCTCTATTAGAAATTAATAATTTTGAGAAACCTATTAATGACAAGTTAGTTAGCTTTTGATAATATAAAGTTTGATTTGTTACGCAACTCTAATCAGTCATTAATTTTCATTTGCAGTTTAAACGTTATTTTCGATAAATTCAAAATGCAAGAAAATATAACGACTGCGATAATGATATGTGAACAATTTTTGGCATTGAAAGTAAAACAAGCAGTAAAATTGAACAAAGAGATGAGGGATAAAATTTCCCATCTAATGGAACATTGTCAGAGTAGGGTTGAAGTAAAAAAAATCATTTCTATTTTAAATGAAACGATAAGTAGAGTGATAAAAACGTTGGATATGATGAAAGGACCTTTTCCAGAAATTGACAGTATAAACTGCATATATTCAAATTTTTTTTCAAGTACTCAATTTAATATTATGTAAAACAATTATTTTATAGTACCGCAAGAACTGGAAAGTAATTTTTATAATTTGAAAAACAACGACTCAAAGAACGTTAATTCAAAGAAACGTACCACGTCTCTGAAATCACTCAAAATTGAACCTACTAGTATTCAAAATACGAAGTATGTATGCGACAGAAACAATTTCCCAACCGAAACGTCAAAATTAATATTTGATGCGCTTACAGTAATCAAAAATCAAGCTATGGTACCGTTTTAAATACTAGGTTTCCGTAATATTTTTTTTAAATTATATAACCTATCTTTTAGAATTACTATACAGTTTTGATTAACAAAAGGAATGAGTTACCTTTCAACGATCAAAATATCTCTTGTGAAAATTGTATTAATAATTCTCTGAAAAAATTGAATACAATTTATGTAGATGCATATAATTTTTGGATTGATGAAGCTAATTGTGAGTAATTAAAAATTGATTCATATTGCACAGTTTAATAAAGTAAAAACTCTATTCTTCATTTATTCACAGGCCTTTCAAAATTCTTCGAATCAATAGAGATGCCTTCGATAGACTGGTATTTGCGCGATGGAAGTATTTCCGGTGAAGAACAGGCCGAATCAAATGTAACATTATCAACAAAGGATAGCGATCCTAATCAATATGTAAATCGCAAGTTCAATGAAAATGTCGTTGGCTTTCAAGTAAATAAAGTTTATTTTTTATTAGATTAAACAAAGCATGTTCTCGTTAAGAATACCATGTAACATTTACAGAGCACTCTTCAAGAGATACTGCATATGCTTGAATCGAAGAATACAAACGATTCTCTGACAAGCGACGAGAACGAAAATGTACAATAAAGAACGTATTAATTGGTATATTAAGCATGTAAATTATATGTATCCTATAAAATAAAACAAGTGGAACTGATAAAAAAAATCTTACGCGATAAATACATAACGTATACGCATTCTCCTCTTTATCAGCAGTAAGAGAAGATAACAGAAAGAAAGAACTCTGTTACTATTTCGTCAAAGTTCGATCCGTTATTCTATTTTTTTTATTAATTCATCAAGTCAGTGGATTACTTTCACGGTTTTGTTTGTTAATTAGGGAATACTTTTGAAAAAATATTTAAAGAAGTTCTGCCAGTTTGCCTTTGTGTCATCAACGAAAAAGTGATAGTCTACTGCGAGATCCAGGAACAATACCGTGTGCGTCCAAAAGACCTGCTTGAATGTCCGTAATCGGTGGAACGTTTCTCACCTCACCTCGTGCTGCAACGCTTGGCGGAGATTTGAGAAGGCGACGAGCTACGCGAACGATATCGTCTTTACTTGCATTATCTAAAAGTAAAAGTACGTTAAGCGCCATAGATCAATACTACCATGCTTTAGTGGTTATAAAATTTCTATAACTAACCAATCGCATTAATAAAATATTCAGGACGTCTTCTGACACCAGTCGCAAGAACTTGTCGACCCATATCTTCAAACACAACAGGTCTTTGTTCCAGATTCATAAGCAGCATTGACTGTAATTGTTTCTTGGCTCGCTAAAATGAAAAGAACAAAACGTAATAAAAATAGTCATTTATTGGAACAAATAGATTGATTTTATTCTTAAATAATTTAATATTTACTGATAATTCACTGTCCGATAAATTCTCTGACATTCCAACCATTTCGTGTACAATAACTTCTGCCATTTCTCGTACATGAGATGGTGTCGAGGATGCGTGAATACAGAATAAACCAGTATCGGCATAAGCATGATTATATGCTGTCGCACTGTACAGCCAGTGATATCTATGGTAATAAAAAAATTAGTCAAAGCTAAAATTAAAAATAAACGTGTTCACCTTTTACCATTACCTATTCAGTACGTTTGTATACAATCTTGTATACATTCCTTTTCCTGGCCCACCAGCACTAAAGCTACCACCACCACCCATCATCATATTTAATATACACATAGGCACAAAGTCTGTATCTTGATGCGAACATCCTTCTAAACCAATAACAACGTGTGATAATTCAGGTAATCCACTAGGCCCAGCATATACAGGAACATTACATTCTTCCTAGAATGCAAAAAATAAGAAAATATACAATCTCATACCTGAATAAATTTTTATAAAAGATTTATTCATACCAAGACGTAACCTCCAGTGTATTGGGCAATTGACTCATCAACAAAATTTTTTGACCTATCAGAGATAATAAGATTTGTGTCCTCCTCCCAAATTGCTTTTTGATCCACAAAATACCTGAATCAATCACATAATTATTGATATTTGGATGTTTTTATGATATAAATATTATATTCAAATGAAAGTTACTTTTCTACAGCATCGACTAATTGTTTATGCTCTACTCCTACACCAGCAATAACCATCCTTTTTGGAGTGTAATGATGTTTCAAGTAAGTGAACAAAATTTTTCTATCAATTTTATTGATGTTTCCTTCTGGGCAAATTTTTGGTAATCCCAATGTATTATCTCTATAAGCAGCCTGAAATAAAATAAAGAAATATTGAAATGAAGGAGAACTAAATTAATTTTTATATTGGTTTTAATTTACTGCATGAATCATATCCATCAGCAGAGGTTCTTGTTCTGGTCTTGTCAACAAAGCTTCAAGCTCAAATTGAATAATTTGTCTTGCAATCCCAACCTAAACATAATTAGAAAAAATTCAGAATAAGAATATATACATAAGCACATCTTAACTTTGTTAATTACCTCTTCTTCTGTTAATTTTGGTCTTAAAACGGTGTCTCCCAAAACTTCAGTAACTTTCTCTATACCATGGCGTTCTGCAGATGCAGCATACACAAATGTGTCTCGTGTAGATTGGCAATCACATATTCCACCATGCTTTTCTAATGCCAACATTATTTCATCCCTATCACTATATGATTTTGTTGACTAGAAATACAGTTGACAAATTACTACTTAAGATATGAAACATGATACATCATGAAATATATAAATAATTTACACTTACACCAAAAGCTAGTTTTTCTAAAAAGTGTGATATGCCACTAGGGTATGCTACTTCATATCTAGAACCAGAGTCGATTAAGACTAGAAAACAAATTGTCAATCATTTACTTCATTCAATAAGCATTAAAAGTTCATTTAAAAATTTTTGTATACCTCCTATTGTACAGAATTGTCCAAAGCGATTTTCAGAAGCTACTCGTAAACCATTGGATAACACTGTAACTTCAGTTTCCTGATCAAGTTCCTTCGCATCAGAATATATTGGTGTAGGTAATCCTGGAATGGGCTCCGATAGAGGAGGGAACGAAGTGACAGTTCCTTCTTTTGGACGTTCTTCTCCAGGTGGTCTAGGAGGTGGTGGAGTTGTTGCTGTAGCATATCCACATCTTTGTAGTAGATAATGGAATTTTCTTTGTGTTCCACTGCAAAAGATTTATTCAAATTAACAACAGAATCTGATAATAGTAATTGAGTGATGCAATACTTATTTCTACATTAGTATTAGAAAATAATCCGAGTAAACAATACAGGAAATAAGCAATTTAAAGTAATATTAATAGGAAAGTTATTCTTAACGAGCGAAAACTTTTTTAAAAAAACGACTAAAAAACGGATGTATAGGTTACGTGTGACAAAAGTTAATTTTAAAAAGAGAGTAATTATCATGTGGCACCTATTTTTCAATGCCGCAGCTAGCGTCCTTTTCGAAGTTCTCACCCACATTATGTTCTGGTTGATAATTTTATTGCTACTTAATATTTACACAGTTGATTCATTTAAACAAATTTTCTTCTGGCGGCTCACGGGGAAAAGAATGGACTTGGATAGAATAGAAAACTTCCTTAACGATCAGAGCGGGTTGAACAACCATCACGTGTGCTCTCAATCGCAATGTCATGAATGATTAATTATCCAAGATATTGAATTCTTAATCTAATAAAAAAGACAAAATATTTTTTTTTCTGCAAGATAAAAACCATTGATTTTATAGCATGCAATAGATTGCGAAAGAAACTGTCGTACTTTGTTTATTATATTAGAGCGCGAAAAATCATGAGTCTGATTATTGACAACATTATAATACTACTTAGTTGTACATAACGGAAAATTGATTCAAGCTGATTTAAGCAAATTGCTCAAGAATATTATTGTAATAACATCCATGAATACTCATTTAATTTGCGTTATCTGGGCACCTTAAAATTCTCGCCAACAGATGGCAGCGGCAAGCCCGCGAAAGAGTTTATAAATAGAATTAGCTAGTCATTTTACATTGATTTCTCTGCTATTACGCGAAATCAGTAAAATGACATGGCATTTGTCCAAAAAGCGATCAAGTAATACATGTATACGCGATGAAATTTGGTTTTCAATGTAAACGCGTGGTCGGAGGGGTAAGTTTCGCTCGTAAGCCAGATGTTTCCAAGTCCTCTGATAGCCGTGATCGTCTAGTGGTTAGGACCCTACGTTGTGGCCGTAGTAACCCAGGTTCGAATCCTGGTCACGGCAATGACCCCACAAGGTCATTGTCACGGTAGAGGTATTTTTTTTATTAACATTTTTCTATCAAGATCGATTTATTTTGATTAAGTAATGCAGAAAAATATTAAATTTGCATAAAACTGCAAGAAGCTTATTTTTTCAAATGAAGTTAATTTCCCGTTAAACATAATGCGATCAATTCCAAAGAAAATCATCAATTACATGCACATTTTCACATACGCCCGTCAAATCAAGGCTGTTTATTAGACTCTCAGCGGTACGTAAAAGAAAGCAGCGCGCGGAGCAGAGAAAATTGAACTTTCTATCGGAGCGAATAAAACAAAAGGTCGCGCGTCTGCCGAGTGCAAAGGGAAAACGTGCAACGCCGCGCAAAGCCATCAATCAAACGCAAGAGAGGAGAAGCCTTCCTTAAAGTCCTGTCGGCGCATGGGAGGATATTAGTTGAAAGGTTTGAAACGAAACGGTAAATTTCGTAACGGCTCGCCGCTGCAAGGCAATCCTAATCAATGGTCATGCGCGATCTTATCGTCCGCGACGGCTTCCGTTTCTTGCTCTCTTCTCGCTTGCGGCTTGCTTTTTTTTCGCGACTTCCTCTCCCTTTGGCCGCTCTTTCGCAACACGACTGCTCGATGAGTCGCTCGCCCGGAATGCATATCGTTTGCGCGCGAATAAATCTATCCGTGCGGAGCTCATTCCCGCTTCTCTCTCTCTCTCTCGCTCTCGCTCTCTCTCTCTCTCTCTCTCTCTCTCTTTCTCTTTCGTTTGTATCGAACGCGCACGTGTGAAACGATTCGCCCGTTCAGGTGTGCAAATCGTCATGCAAATAATCGTCTCATGAATATATCCTCGATCGCCTTTTTTTCTTTAAATTCAGGTACTGCTGCCTCGGTTATTTTAACGGATGAGCGAGTAAAATTAACGATTTGCTTTAATTGTAGAGAGATTTGGTGGCAAAGCATCAGAAATAATTTATACGGATGAAAGGTTCGCGAATGTAGGCAAATTTTGACATATTTTCAATTGTTTCAACGGTTGTTTTTGCAGTTTGCGCGTCGGTGACAAATATCTGTGACGCACTTTTTTGTTTATTGATAGTCCAAATAATTTGTCTGATGAAATAGTAGTACGTATACAAGTTACACTCTTGTCTCGTGAAGTAACTTATAAAAAATTGAATAATAGCTGTAGGTGATTCATTAAAAATACACAGTGAGGCATCAGCTGGTGCTAATATTCTCTTACCTAAGTCGACAATTTCAACATTTTATTTATGTTATCTTACATCAAAATCCACATTGCAATGAGCAATCTCAGCAAAAACGTCGAAAAAGTATCGTTGCAACAAACATACAACCATAAAACTGGACAGAAATGCAAAATGCAGTATAGACCGTAACAAGAATTGAAAAAAAAGGCCACCAAGTGCAGACTATAAAGTCTCCCATGAAAATGCAGAAGAACGTACAATTCTCCAAATATTCGAATAACAACCTCTAGACCAGGACTGGCAGTAGTCGGCTGTGCGGGCGCGCAATTTGCGCAATGCACGTATGCGCAAAAGGCAGTTCGTGTAGTGTACTCGTATACCTGTATAGCAGGCGAAGGAAATATCGCGCAAGAAAAAAGCAGCAGCAACCTCGACCTTCGAGTGCTTAAAAGCATACATTATCTATCCCCGGCGCGGTGGCGTCGTTACGCACCGCACAATGCACGGATAAGTATTGGGAGTTCGGTGCACTTCGTCGAAGATAGAGAGAAAGAGAGAGCGAGAGAGAGAGAGAGTGCAGCGGAGTCAATAGTGAATCCCTTTTCTCATATTTGCGCGCTACACACTCGAGGCTCTCTCTCTCTCTCTCTCTCTCTCTCTCTCTCTCTCTCTCTCTCTCTCTCTCTCTCTCTCTCTCTCTCTCTCTCTCCTTGTACTTGCTTATACGCATAGTTAGTGGCTCCAGGCTTAGCATTCGTAAAGGGTTCTTACTATACGCGAGTTCGTCGATCGTCTCAACATTGGTGAAAACCCTACCGCAATTCGATGCCGAATGCACACAAATTACGTGAATTTCACTAACGCACTATCCCCAAGATCCTTCGTATCGCTGCACCTTTGATTTGTGCGTCCGAGCTTTTAGAAATATCGTGGCTACGCCGAACGGCGTAGTCCGAATATCCGACGTTCCCATGAAGTGAATGTGCGCTATGTGGATTGTTATCGAACGTCAATCCATTCACGAGTAATGAACACATATACGCAATTTGCGTTGTTCTAAAGTGAATGTCAAACGAGAATGAACACTGTTCGCACACGTGCAACCGCGAATAATGGTTCGACGATCGTACTTTGCTGATGCCGTTGAAAAGATCAAGAAAGACTCGTTGTATCTTCGTGGGCACACCCAGTAGAAGAGCGACGGCGAGGGCGTTCGTTCGCTCTGCTACATCGCATAATCAAAAACTCACGTTGGATGAAACCAATGGAAGAAAGGAAAAAAAGACCAAGTAGCGACGTATGTCTACGACAATGCACATATAGATATCGCGAAGAACAAATCCAATTATACGCGTGTCGCTCTCGCGTGTTAACGCAAGAAAAATCTCCGAAATTGCGCTTGGCCGTTCGTCAACGCGCGCGCATGGTAATCCTCATGTTGAGGAAAACGCTCATGGCGGTACACAGGTAGAGACAGCGCGCAGAGGCGGGTGGTATAGGAGAGGGATAGAGGGAGGGAGGGAGAGAGAGAGAAAGAAAGCCAGCGGTGAGTTGCCTGCGTGCACGCCGCACGGCGTTCTCCAGGTTCTCCGCCGCTTCTATAGTACGTGCATGCGCGCGCACCAACACAGCTGCAAGTGAGAGCCGCTTGGCTGCTTCGCTCGCCAGTCTCGCCTCGGCGGTTCTTCAGTCCCGACACGGCGTGGATGTGTACCGCATTGTGCACGCGCGTGTGCGTCGTCTACTGTAATATTGACACGCGCGCGACACTAACGAGCGAGAGGAAGACCAAGAGTGCGATGGTGCAGTGAGAGTGATTGCTATTCGTTTGCTCCGTCTGCAGCGCAACGAGAAACAGAGAGGAGTACAGACGCCACATTTTGCCATCAGATCGTAGACAGAAAGAGAGAGAGAGAGAGAGAGAGAGAGAGAGCGAGAGCGAGACGCCTCGTTTGACGGAGAGCTGTGTGCACATCGGCAGAGTTGGGAGGATCACAGAGTGAGAAAGGATGCGAGCTGCGCTGCACGTCGTCGCAGGTCGGTATTTTTCTTTTCCCCTCTTAGCGAGAGTAGGTTTACTGCCGGCTTTTCGGAGCGAGGGAACAATGCAGCTTGGTAACGGGACGTTGCGCGAAAATGCGCGGGCAAGATTGGAGGACAAGAGTTGACGGTGCGCGAGGTACAGTGAAACAAGTCCAATTTCAATGTTAATAAAACTGTATAGTTCAAGGCGATATCAGGCACTGAAAACTATAGCTGTTTTATCTACAACAACGGCACATCGAATGATCTCGTGCGTTCGAACCGGCTGCGAGAGTGTGAATAATAACGCAAATATGCATCGAATTTCAGTATTAATTAGTCGGCTCGAGAGCGTAAACACGCGTACACTAATCGGCGGTCGAAAATGTGTTTCAAGTCATGTCTGCCGTCGTCATTCAATTACGTAAACCCCTCTACCTGGAATATGCATTTAAAAGTAGTCAACTCGCGCGCACAATGTCACCTGAGCATAATATAAGTGAGCCAAAACTTACTACATATTCGGTGTTATTCTGAGAAATCTCCTCTCCTCTCCTCTCTTTCTCTCCCATTCTTCACGAGCGGAAGGAGTAGTAGCCGCAAAACATTGCTGCTCTCGAGTCCCTTCTTTTCTCTCCCTCTCACTCTTTGCGGTTTCTTGACCCGTTGCACAAATTTTTGTTTTTTTTTTATTTTTTTATTTTAATTCGGCGAAATACCCTTCGACGATAGTGCATCGGTGGTGTGCACGTCGGCGGCATGGCGAAAAATGCAAGTGAGAGAGATAGAGGAAATAAGAGAGGGATTGGGCCGTGTGTGCGAAGTTTTGTTTTGAAATCGAGGTTGCTCGAGTAACGACGAGTTCGTGTGTATATATAAGTACGTGTGTACGCGTAGTCGGCGCTGTAGCCGCTAGCCGGCCATTTCGTAAGTGCACGCGCTGTATTCGCGACGACGTTACATACGCGGCTCACCATTTGTCGATGTCGCATGTATATACTCGCAGCCATCTAGTCGCTTCGTGTAGATATTTTGAAACTGTGTTTGTTTGCGATCTTCGTTTTGCTTCCAAGGTGATCGAGA